AATGAGCAGTGAGCAGCCCCTCCCTAAACAAAGTGAAGCGCAGGACGGGGTCCGGTGGATGGGAGGCAAGGAAACGCGGGGGGTTGCCACGTGCGCTACCGCCGCCGCCGCAGGCAGCACCCCTGCGGCGGCGGCAGCGGCAGCAAGCCGTGGACCCAAACGCCGTGCCGCCGCCGCCGCAGGCAGCACCCCTGCGACGGCGGCGGCAGCAAGCCGTGGACCGAAACTCCGTGCCGCCGAGTCCCGTGGCTGTGGCCGTGGGCTTCTGGCAGGAAACTACGGCCGCAGCTCGGCAGCACGGGGGCGTCGCAGCGTGCCGCCGCCGCCGCGCTGCCCCCCGGGCACGGCGGCGGCGGCAGCAAGCTTGGGCCCAAACGCCGTGCCGCCGAGTCCCGTGGCTGCGACCGTAGACCGTGGGCCGGAAACTGCGGCCGCAGCTCGGCGGCACGTGGTTCTGGTCAAATCGCCAAGCGTGCAGCAGCGCCGAACCACGCTTCCCGGCCTCGGCGCATGCCTTCAGGGGCCCCCTATCGCTGGGCACACCCCTCCAACACCGAACATGCGCCCGGGGGGGAGGGCGGCCCGGGCGGCCCAGGCCAAAGTGGGCCGCCCTCGAGCAAGAGGCGGCCGGGCTGTGTGCTGAATGAATGAATGAATGAATGAAGGGGTGCAATGAAGCAGCGCTAAAGTTTGGTAGGCAACGGTTGGCAAGAAAGGGCCTGGCTCAGGCCGAGCGGCGTACTGGAGTGGGGGTCGGGGTGGGGGTCGGTGTCGGTGTGCTGGGGGCAGGGGTGGCAGCCGTCTCCAGGCCGGCAACGCCCTTGAACGCCTGAATCGTGTTGTTCCCAACATACTCCACGAAAGGAGTGTTGACAGCCTGCATGAGAAGAGGCGAGTTAAGTTGGTCTGGGCGAGCTCGGCATGTTGTCCGCCTGAGCTGCCCATCCACGCAGACTTGGCAATGGCACAGGCACATGGGCACAAGGACAGCAATGCTAGCAGCTTGGCTGCTCACCAGGATGCCCTCAGTATCATCTGAGTACGCAAAGCCAGCGACGTCGCCAATGTTCTTGGTGGCATCTAGGTAGGCAGGGTTCTTGCCAGCCGCAACCAGAGCATCCTGGATGCTCTTGCCCAGGGCGCTGGAGCGCACCTCCGCAGTGGCCATTACTGCGTATGCGGGTGCTTTGGCAATGTTGCAGGACTCGTACTGGTCAAGAGCCTTGCAACCGCCCGTGGGGCAAAGCAGCATCATATCGGCCTGCACATCCAGCTCGGCGGCGCACATTTTGTCTCGTCCATTACAGCAATTGGTGGGCAGCATCAGCACAGCGCCACAAAGCAAGTTTTCGCAATGGGGGCGCCAAAGCGGCCACCATCCAGGCGCAAAAGGCAGATGACTCTGGCCGCCTGCCACTCTCACCTTGTTCAGGGTGGACCAGGTCTGAGCCTCAGTGCCATCCTTGGCATACTCCAGAGGGTTGGAGTGCTTGGTGAAGGCCACGTCACCTGCAGGGCAATGCAGGGACGGAAGGGGACCACGTGGCACCGACAAGAGCTGCTGGCAATAACTGCCACTCATCCCTGGCGGCAGCAGCACCACGAGTGGCATGCGTCAAGCCAGTGTCTGCAATCACCTGCGCCCTCCATGAGGCAGCGCACGGCACCAGAGTAGTTGTAGTAGGGGTCAGCGTCAGTGCAGTCGCCCTGCGCAGGGCCGGTTGATGCCACGTCAGCAGAGCAGCATGACATGACATTTTTCGGGAAGGGCATACTGCCTCGGCAATCTGCAAAGCAGCAATACATCAAGATGCACCCTGACTCACCTTGCAGCCAGTGCACATGCCATCCCACTTGCCGCCGCCAACCAGAGGGCCATCCTCATTGCTGCCGGCAGCACAGGTGGTGGAGAAGAAGGAGGCCATGCTCTCAGCATCCGCCTTCACTGTTGTGTCAGTGTTGACCTTGGGGACCTGCAGGCAGAGTAGTGAATAGTCAAGGCATGCCCAATTAATTGTTGCTGCCCTTCCTGAAATGAAAAAGACCACGCAGCATGAGGTGGTTGGAGCAAAAGTCAGCCAGCACCGGCGCTAGGGCTGCGCGTCCCACAGCCAGCCATTCCGCCTTACCACGCCACTCTCCACAAGGTACCCAACTGGAAGCGTCCAGCCGGCTGTCCTGCAGGACCACAGCATGGCGGCGTGAAGAAGCGTGATAAAAGCTCGGCTGCTTGCCATCGTGGATGTTCCAGAGGCAAGGCAAGCAGGGACCTATCCCATCCACACACACCTGCCATAGCCGGTGTGGCACGAGCGCTTGCCCTGCAGCAGAGGGATCCAAATGAATTGATTCAGAGGCAGTTGAAAACTTGTGTCCATTGTCATCAGCATGCAGCATGGCGAGGTGCGTCGACGCACATACCTTGAGGCTCGCGAAGGTAACGCCGGCGGTGCAGAACGCCTTGGGCACGACCGCGACGCTGTAGTACGAAGCACCATTGAGATCGCCGTAGAACTCTGCAGGACCAGGACCAGGGAGTACGTGACGTCAAAAACGGCAGGGCAGCTGGGGATGATGAGGTGCATCATGATGCCTTGATCAAGGAGATGCCAGCAGAGCTGGCGCGGTGTGCCTGCCCACCTGCTGCTAGAGGCTCCATGCTGTAGGTTTCGTGGGCAGCCATCATGGTTGCTCCTGCAGGTGTGCAGAGGGGGGCAGAGTTTGGAAGAGGAGAAATGCAACTGGATAGCGGTCGGGTGCAGCAGATGTGTGTGCGAGGCGTGTCCAGGTGCGTGGGGGTGTTGAGGGCGCACCTCCCAGGGTCGTGATCTCAGCGCCTCCCTCGCTGATCAGCTCCAGGCACCCATCGCTGCTGCCGCCAGCGACGCAGGTGAAGTTCACGGCCGCAGTGTTGGCCAGGGCGACGGCAGAGGTGCAAGCCTGGACGGCCACGGCATCATTGGCGGCGGGCATGCACCACCGCACATTGCCTGCTGCCTGCAGGAAGGACGGCGGAAATGATTTCATAATGATATCCAATTTAGCGCTTCAACCCTTTTGGAGGAAGCCTCCCTTCAGGAGTTCAGCAGCATGCGCAAGATGCGCAGCTCATCATTGGACCATCGGGCCAAACCAGCAGCGTCCCCTGGGCTTAGCACGCATTGTCATCACCTGCGACAGGACGCGGGCGTGGGCGGGAGCCGCAAACGCCACGAAAACTGCCAGGAGCAGGGCGTGGCAGCGCGGAGCCATGGTGTCGGGCACCGTTGAAGGAAGCAGAAGGCACAGTTCAAGAAGGAGGCGAGATGGGGTTAATCCGATGATTATCATGGAACATGGGGGGTGGGCTGTGCTGGGCACACGCCCGGAGTGTGCAGCAGGACCTCCCCTCCTCCAACCAGCGAAGCTACTATACTACACACCATCAAAACCCATTGAAATCGTTTCGGTAAACTTTGCAATTGTTGCAACAGAGGACAGGTCAAGGCGCAGGCACAAGCAGCCAACCGCTGGGACAAGCCGTAGCGCTTGGGCCGGCAGGTACTGCCAGACGGCGAAGAGCCGCTTCTGAAAACAGCAGGGGAAATGGCAGCCGCTCTGGCGCAAATAACATCACATGTGATCAGTTCAGGAATGGCGCTCCCATGCTGCCGTGGGAGCAAAGGCAGCGATGAGAGCCCCATGGCGGCGCGGCGTTGCTGCGGCGCTCATGTGCTCAGGGAAAGAGCGCCTGCTGCAGCAGCGCCGTCTCCTCGGGCAGGCCAAACAGCAGGTTCATGTTCTGGATGGCCTGGCCGCTGGCGCCCTTCACCAGGTTGTCGATCACTGCGGCAGCGGAAAGCAAGCATGTTTCCGTTGGTCAGGCTTGCAGCGACGCACGGGATGAGCGGATGGCCCACACCAACTGGGCCAGAAAGCAAGGGGCAAGCGGGCACGCACCTGAGATGACGATGGCGCGGCCGGGGATGCGGTCTTCAAAGACATTGATGAGGTTGTAGTTGGAGCCGCGCACGTGGTGGGTCTGCATGGCAGCCAGGGTGGCTGGGAAAGAAGCTTGAGGAGGGCAGAGAACAGCGACAGGCGCCCGGCGGGTTGTGACGCGGGAGAAAGCCAGAGGGGTGCCACAGGGCTAGGGGGGATGAGGTCGGGACAGACTGCGCTGGCTTAAGAGCGGCGAGCATGCTCGGCAGGCAGGCTTGCCTGCGGCACTGAGCCGGGGGCCAGCAGGTGCACGAACGGCTCGTCCTTGTACTTGGCCTCCAGGCATGTGCGCAGGTCGGCCACGGTGATGCCTGGTGCCATCTTGACGTAACAGGAAGACTCCATGCCGCGCGTCATAGGCATCAGGTGGGGCGTGAAGCTGCAGGCAGGGTGGGCAGCATGGGGCAAAGGGCGGGACACGTCTTCAGAGGCACGGGCTGGAACAGCTGCTGCTTGTGTGCAGGCACCACCCAGCCCGTGCACCCACCCAGCGCCCACTGTCGGATGCCCTTGTGCGCCCCTGCCTTGCCAGCACACCTGATGCGCACGGGCTTGCCCGCGGCGTCTTCCAGGCCCTGCTCAATCTCGGGCATGTGGCGGTGCTTGGTGACGCCATATGCGTTGATGCCCTCAGTTGCCTCGCTGTACAGCAGGTTCTGCTTGGCGCTGCGCCCCGCGCCGCTGATGCCTGCAGGTGGGCAGCGGGCAGCGGCGCGGTAAGGTGCTAAAATTCAGCCAAGGAAGCGAGAAGATTGATCGGGGGAGTCGGAAGCTGAGGGTTCACAGCGCACCCGACTTGGCATCAATTATGATGTCCTCGGTGAGGATAAGCCCCGCCTCAATCAGCGGCACCAGTGGCAGCTGCACGCTGGTGGGGTAGCAGCCGGGATTGGCCACCACACGCGCTTTCCTGCAGCGGGGGCAGGGGGCAGGCCAGGAGCAAATACAGGTTTGGCATGCCACAGGGAGGAGGGTAACAAAGGCACCTCTGGATGGCCTGCCCCACAAACCAAGCCAGGCACCCTCTGTGCTGCTCTCTGCCACCCTGGCAACCAGTGAGCCGTCCCTTGCTGCCAATCCGGCCCCTGCTGGGCCATCCACACCCTGGCTCACTTGACAGCCTCGCGGTGCAGCTCCGTCAGGCCATACACAACCTCCTTCTGCAGCTCCACAGCCTTGTGCTCGCCGCCATACCTGCAGGCAGGCGGCCATGGTGGCAGCCATGGAGCCCGGCGCTCAATGCACCAAGCATCACCCCAGAAGCACCAGCCGCGCCAGGTCCTGCTGCGTTTTGCTGCCACCAGCTTGGCTATGCCAACCTGCTTGCCCATGCGAGCCTGCTTCCCTCGGCACAACAGCGCCGCTCACCATTCGGCATAGCTGTTGACGTCGCGTAGCCGGAAGTCGGCTGACAGGTCAACCACCTTGATGTGCTGGGGCAGGTCCTTGACGACCACCTGTGTGGTGGCGTGTGGCAGGCAGCAGAAGACTGCGCAGGCAGGGGGGGCAGTTTATATATTAGGTGTGACTGCGTAGAGTTGGGTGACGGGGAGCATGCATGGGCGTTGGGGATCTGCAACGGGCAGAGACCAGCCGAGCCACCCTCTGCCATCAGCCACCTGCATCCACGCCGTCCCATTTCACATCGTCAATCTTGCACAGGCTTGGCACGTCGGTGGCGGTGATCAGGTGAGGGAAGACCTCGGAAAACTCCTGCTTTTGGGCAGGGATACTTCATCTCAAGTATACAGTACAGGCTGCTGGGGTGCACCCAAGAAGGCAGAGCAGGATTGAGCTGCACGTGGTAGACTTCACTTTGCAGTTAACATTCAACGTAGCCTGCCAGGCAACATGCTGTATTGCCCCGGGATCACCCAGCCACGGCCGGCGCCAGTGAACGCACCACCCAGCCAGCAACCCACCTTGCCCGCTTGCCGGTCGCCCGTCAGCGCGGTGACCTTGAAGGTTGGGTGCAGCGACAGCAGGCGCACCACCTCCTCGCCGGTGTACCCCGAAGCGCCCAGCACCGCCACCCGCACCTGCTCCGTGGACTTGCCAGCTGTCGCGGCAGTGGCGGCCTGCACTCGGCAGCGCACAGGGAGGTGTAACCCAGCTGGATGGCTGGCCGTGGTAACAGCATAAGAAGTGCTGCATGCTGATGTGCACGATACACACAACCCCAGGGGGTATGCGCAGTCGCGACAGGTCCGGGCTGGGTGGCGGCAGCGTGGTCCACGCTGTCGACGCCGCCGCCTCGTTAGGGCTTCCCCGGCAACCCGTTTTGGCACTCGCTGCGCGCACCGGCGCTGCGACTGCACGGCACTGCAGGGCCCTACGAGCCACTGTGAACGGTGCTTGGCGGCCACTAGGGCATGATGAGACCTGCATGGTGAGACCTGGCAGCTGGCGATGCTGATACAATCTGGCAACCGATCACGTCGTGCTCAGCGGTGCCCGATGCAGGGGACAGCCACAAAGCAACACCCCGGCCGCCGCTTTCCTCCTAGCGCCGCCGCGTCCTGTGTCACTGGCCCAGCTTGCTTTGCGCTGCAGAATGAAGGCAACCTCCGATGCAGAATGAATGATAACATGTGTGTGTGCATCATGTACATTATCCATTTTTGATACGGTCGGCCCAGCTGTTGCTGTGCCGGACGCCCAGACTCCGCTGATACTGTACCGCACCTATTGTTTCGCGGGGCCAAAAAATAATTAATGCCAAGAATGCACGCGAAAATTAAGTTTGGTAGCGTGTTTGGGCGAACTTTCTCGCGAAAATTAGGTGCCAGCAGAACAATTGTACTGCTGACCTCCAGTACACCATCAAGAAGCTTCTTTGAGAACAGTGGGTCACTGGTCGTCCTCCGATGCCTTCTGATCACATCAACAGGCCAGTGTGGTGCGCCGATTTTTAGGTGCGCCGATGATGAATAGGTGGCTGCCACACCCCGTGTAAGATCAAACTCAGGAAAAGCGCTGCAACAACACGCCCAGCACAGCTTGTATTGCTGCTGCCCCCAGCAGTACACGCGAACATTAGGTTCAGCGCGAAATTTTCCTGCGTTTGGGGGCGCGAACATTAGGTGCAGCCCGAAATTCGCCAAAACACTCGCGAAAATTAGGTTCGCGAAACTTTTAGGTGCGGTACAGTACCGCCCAGACGATGGGAGCGCTCAGGCAGTCTTCGCAACTGATGTTTGCATGTCCCGGGATGCTCCTTCAAGGGATGATTTCGTTCGGGTTGATCAGAGGTGATCAGAAGGACAAAATGAGTCCGCGGCTTTCGAGGGGCGGGCAGAAGCGGGGCGCGGGACTCGGCAGCAGACGGACTTGAAGCTGCGGCTGCCAGCGCAATTGTTTGCCTCCATGCGCTTGCCTGCAATTTTCGGAGTACAGGCCGGGAGCTGTTAGCTTACGCAGGACTGCCTCAGTATCGGCGTTCGTGCCCCTGAGTTCAACACGACGGGGACGGCGGTAGAGAGTTGCTCCAGATGTCATGCTAGGGCAGAAGACCCGTGCGAGAGTTATAATCTCCGTTCCGTCCCTGTGCTGAGGCCACGTCCTGACACAGCTGGCCAGGCGCTGGCCTCTCCAGCACCTGGACGCCTGCCACCCGCCTCCCCCACTTTCAGTCATCGCCAGTTCCATTTTCCGCTGCCTGACGGCGCGTGGAGTGCAGCCACACGTGTTTGCCTGCAAAGGCGGCGCCGGTTTGTGACTTGCGTGGCCCTTCCGTCGTGAGACCAGCGGGTTGCCATCTGCTGGTGAGCGGCAGCTGCAGCAAACTCTCTTGCCCTGCGGGAGCCTGCATTGCCTAGGCAATGGCGCTGCCGGGGGCCGATGGCGCCCCCTACTCTCGTTTCTGACCACTGCAAGGCGGTGGCAGGTGATCAACCGAGGCGCCGCCGCGCCTGTCCGCAGGGACGAGCAGTGAGAGTCAGCGTCAGCTCTTTGACCCACCCCACGTTGATCCTCCCCGAGGAGGTGAATGAAGTCCTATGGCATGGGTCTGGCGGCCGGCCTCGCCCGATCATCCCTGTCCCGGCCGATTGCGGCTGTGTGCCAGCCCTCACCTTAGGCTGCCTCCCCTGCAGGCCTGCCAAAGATGGAGGCGCTAGAGCAGCTGACAACGCTGTTGATGCAGCAGCACGCCTTGCAGCCCGTCAGCGGTGGCGGGAGCGAGGGAGCTGCCGCCGCGGCACCAACCACGCAAGACATGCAAGGAGGGAAGGGCCACTTGGGCAGTGGCAACGAGCATGCTGAGCAAGGTGATGCACAAGACAGCAAGCAGGGCGCTGATCAGCCACTCAAGGCCGAGGCGCCGGCACAGCAGCAGCAGAGCAGCGATGCTACAGCAGATGCCGTGGCGCCTGCGAATGCATCTCTCAGCGTGGCGCTGGCGTCGCTGTTGCAGCATCACCAAACCCAAACGCAGCAGAAGCAGCAGCCACCGCAGCAGGCGCCCAAGCTGTCACAGCAGCAGCAGGAGGCCACGGCGCGGCCGCCGTCTCAGCACGAGGCCGTGCCAGACATGCAGCGTGATGAGTCGGATGACGTTGGCCCAGCTGCAACGGCGGCAGCAGTGATAGCCGCCGCCGAGTCTGCAAATGACGACACTGGCCGCAGCCTGCAGCTGGAGCTAGCCAAAGCGATAGCGCAGGTGGTGATCAGCCACCTGCAGCAGCACCCCACCTGCATCCCGCTCAAGCAGATGGGCGCTGCCATTTCGGATGTGCTGGTCAAATGCGTCACGCCCAGCGGGCTGGCGTCGGGACAGCTAGCGCTGTCAGCCTTCCAGCCACCAAAGCAGCAGTCCCAGTCTGCGCCGCATATGCTGCTGGCAGCTCTGTTCCAGCCATCGCTGGGAGCCACTCCGGGTAGCGGCGCTCCCAGCTCTGCAGATGCTCTGCTGCTGCAGCACCTGGCGGACGCGGCGGCAGCAGCGCCTGGTACGGCTGGCACTGGCAGCGGCATGTGGGAGCTTCCGCCCGGCGCTGCTCGCGGCGGCGGCAGCGACGGCGCAGATGCCCTGTTGGCTGCAGCATTGGGGGCTGGGCAGCCTCCGCCAATCTGGTCCCAGGACCAGCACCTCTTCCGGCCGCAGGCGCTGCGGGCACCTGGGGCGCAGGCAGACCAGGGCGGCAATGCAAATAACTGGAATCAGCTGATGCAAGCTGTGCCTCAAAGCCAGCAGGTAGGCGCACTGCGACTCTGCCTTTTTCATTGTTTTTTCGGATTCCTGTAGTTGCACGCCAACCTCAAACTCAAGGCAGTGCATCTGTGCATCTGTCTCTAGTATTCTGACCGGCCTGGCGCCATGTCTGCTTCTTGAGTGCAGGCTGATGGCTCAGCCCCAGCGATGAAGCGCCAGCGTACGGCCCAAGGTAGCGCGCCCCAGCTTGCGGCGTATGATGCGCCACGCCATGCCGCGGGCCACCTTGGCAGCAACAGCAACCTGTCCGGTGCCGGCGTCGCCGCTGGCAGCTCGGGGCACCAGCAGCCAGGGGCCCTGGTGCCGCTGCTGCAGGGCCCGGGTCCGCGATCCCCAGCAGCTGCCGCTGCGGCGGCCGCCGCTGCGGCGGCCGCATCTGCGCTGCGCCCGCTGGCTGCCCGCGAGCAGGCCATCCCGCGCCAGGTGCCTGCTACGCTTCGCCGCCCGGTGCTGGCACAGTCGCTGCAGCACCCGCTGGCTGCTGTGGACCGCCTGCTCACTAATGCCACCTACATGAACCGACTGCACGTCAACCAATCCATGGCGCATGACCTGCTGCCAGACGTCGATGAAATCCAGCTACCGAGGGTGAGGAGGTGCATGCTCGATGCCACACAGTCACATTGCCATGCCATGTTTGCACTACTTGCACAGTGCACGTGATCAACTCTCCTGCATTTCCCTGATCCCTGCACCGCTTGCCATTCTGCAGGACCAGCAGCGGCAGGGCGCTGCCGGCTCGCTGATGCTGTTCAAGCACTCAATTGTGGTGGTGGACGAGCAGGACCGTGCTTGGCCGGTTCAGGTGCAGCCAGCCGCGGACTCTGCCCTTCAGTTCAGGTTGGCAGGCAAATTGCCTGTTGGCAACGTCTATGTTCCTTAGTTTCTATGTTCCTTTCTTGCAGTATGAGGGCTTCATGTCCGCAGGCCAAAGGCACCTGCGGTTGGGCGCCGGATGGCGCTACCTGTGCCGCGCCAATAATGCCGCCGTCGGTGCGTTGCCGCCTCGACTGCACCTGGTATCGTGTTGCTATCACAGTGACTGCAGCACAACATTGCAAGTCAGCCTGGTCATTCTATGTTGCCCATATTTTATGAGAGTATCTCAGTTGTTGCTTGTTCTCTTGGCTGCGCCACAGGTGACACGCTTGTTCTGGAGCGCTGGACGCAGGACCGCAGTGTCGTCCACCTGCGCATCCTGCGTGTGGCACAGCAGCAGCAGCAGCAGCAGCAGCAGCAGCAGCAGCAGCAGCAGCAGCAGCAGCAGCAGCAGCAACAGCAGCAGCAGCAACAGCAACTGCCTTCCTTTGCAGGCATGCTGCCGCTGCCTGCGCCCGCTTCAGGACTGACTTTTCCAGGCAACTTGAGGCCTGAGGAGGAGGCAATGCAGCCTGGCACGCTGCCGCTGCAGCTGCAGGCGATGCTAGGCGTTGCCGCGCAAGCTGCAGCCGCGCAGGAGCAGCAAGTGGAGCAAGCGGCACCTGTTCAGCAGCAGCAGCAGCCTGCGGCCCTGGAAAATGCAGGATCCCAGCAGCAGCAGCATCAGGCTGCTGAGCCTTCAACAGTGGCAGCAGGTGCCCAGCCTGGGAGGGCTGTCTCTCCGCACCCACGCACTGGCCACAAGCCGCCAGCACCAGCAAATCCCTCTGTTGAGCAGCTGAATGCAGGCGATGCCGGCTGAAACATGCCTGCCACACTTAGCACAATCAATTGGCTGGCCCGTTCCAACTGTTTTTACCCACTCAGTCATCAATGCCCTTCGCCATGAAGCATACACCTTTTGGCCCTATGCATTTGACCTGTCTGCATTCTTCTTTCCTGGTCTTCTTCGTCCACTCCTCTGCCGACTCTTCAACACGGTTTTCAGGGTGCGGCGATGCTTAAGAGAGGAACCCTGCTAGCATGCATGCCATGTGCAATACATGCTCTCTCTCTCTCTGCCTACGACTCTTCTCTCACAGTTTGCATACCTGGGCCTCCATCATCGCGCAAGGATGCATTTACACCAGGCGCCCTGACCCAGCAGGAGTGGAATGAACAGTGAACGAATAATCCTCTTCTGCTCACCTTTTCCTACGCTGTGTCTGTGTTTCTCTGCGTCACCATTTTTTCAAGCTCATCAGCCAGTGTGAGGGCCCGTGCCATCGATCATTTGCTACTATGTTCTTGTTGCGTCTTTGTGCCGAATTGGTTAATGCCTCTTGCATTCACCAGTACCTTGTCCTCTTGGCCACCCACTCATCGACCCAGCCCTTCCGCCCACCGCCTCTTAGAATTCAGCTGTCCTCCCAGCTCATTCTGACAGCTCGTCTGCATACGAACGAACGCCCGCATTGCTTACCATGAACATGCAGCACGCTTGGACATTTGATTAATCATTTTCATGTAAAACACATCGGACCCTGGGAGAAACCCCCTGCAGGAGATGTTGCTTTACCAGCGCCGGCCCCCTGGCGGGCCACTGCCGCCGCCAAACGCGGGCGGGCCCCCGTCCACCTTCTGCTGCTTAGGCGGCCTGGGCTGCTTGATTGTCACTTCCCTTGTGCGTGCTCTCCCCTTCTTATCCGTCACTGTGCGCTCCTCCGAGCTGCTCTTCCGCAGCTGCACCGGCCGGTTGCCTGCGGCAAGGCGCGGTGCAATGGCCTGCTCAGCTGGACCGGCAGGCTGCAAGGCTGTGGCAGATGAATGCATTCTACCTTGAACACAATTGCCACAGCAAGCGGTTGTGAAGTGCGGAGCTGGCGTCGAGGGCCAAAAATTCAAATGCGTACCCATGTGCACTGTGTACTCATCGCCCGCCCTGCACTGCACTCACTCACCCACATATTTGCCCTGCATCTCGCGAAGGACCTTGGCGCCTTCAATGGTGTCACCAAATGACACAAAACCGTAGCCCTTGCTCTTTCCGTTGTGAGCATACCGCACCACCTTGGCTTTTTGGAAGGTTGGGAACCTCTGGAAGGCCGCGGTCAGCACCGCATCTGACACCTGGCGAGGGTTTCAGCGGGGCGGGACAGGGGTCGAACACAACCAGCAGCAGCCGCAGCGGTACAAGGCAACTGCTCAGCCCTGCTCTGCCGACGGGCAACGCAAGCCCGCCAGCCCAGCTGCTCGACTAATCGACCCAGCTGCGGCTCACCTCATTGCCCAGGTTGCCCACAAAGATGCGGTAGTCGTTCTCAGGCCACTCAGCGAGCGTGGTGTCCACCCACCGTTGCCCCGCAGCCGCCCGCACCACGCCCACCTTTTTGCCCCCGACAGCCGCCACCTTGGTAGTGCCTGGGGCCGTGGGGACCCCCAAAAAGGGGGGGGCGCCGCCGCCCATCGGCGGCATGCTCGCTGGCCCGCCATACCCCGGCATGAAGGGTGGCCGTGGCATGCCTGATGGCCCAGCCGGCTCTTGAAACTCCATTTGGTTGGGCTGAGGCGGCGCTGCAATGATGGGGGCCGCTGCCATAATTCCCCCGTGCCGCAGCCCACCCGGCGGCGGCACCACCGGCGGCGGCAGGTGCCCGTGCTGCATGGGTGGGCCGCCCGAGGGGTGCATGGGCGGCGGGAGCTGGCCCGGGCGTGGGAGTCGGTGCATGGGCGGCCCGCCGGGTGGGGGTGGCAGCTGCACTGGCAGCGGCCGCTGCATGGGCTGCCCGCCTGGGGGTGCTGCCAGCTGTGGCGGACCTCGTGGCGGTGGCGCCAGCGGCTGTCCTTGCTGCTGCTGCTGCTGTGGCGGTGGCGGAAGGTTCAAGGCCGGCGGCGGCTGCTGTGGAGGCGGCAGCGTGCCCTGCACAAACAGAAGCGACGGCAGGCGGCACAGGCTGCATGGAGCAGCACAACAAGCAAGCAGCGTACGCTAGTACATGGCTGCTAGCAGCTCAGCATAGTGCAGTCTGTACCTCCTGCTGCTGCGGGGCATGTTCCTCGGGCTTTTCAGCCGCCATTTCCGCCTCGAACAGCTCCGCCTGAAACTTTAGAAACTCGTCATCCAGGTTGCTCATCGCGGCAACCGTGTGTACACAGCGGCGTGCCGGTGCCAGGCTGTGCGTGCAGCCTGCGATCAGTAGATCCTGCGCTGAAAACAACGGGAAATGTGAAGCAGCACGACATGGGACTGGGGCGGCGGCGGCAGGAGGCCGCGGTGGTCGCAGCCCGCCATCCCGCCTGGTGCGCTGTACAACATGTATACGTGATTCCCCTGCTACCCACACAACGAGGAGGCTGCCAGCAACAGCGCCGCAGGTGCCAAAGACCATCGGCTGTGGCAGCCTCCCCCACCCATGCCATGCGACGCCTTCTAAACGGCCCTTTAAAACTGCAAGCATGCAAGCGTGCCAGGGGCTCGAATCACCTGCTGCGGAGATGTCCAGGCGGCTAGCCGATGTCCAGGCTTGTTATACAGTCCACAATGTGCTGGGGCGATTGCACACGCCGATCGAGCCAGAATAGAGCACAGACACCTGCCGCCGCAGTACAAGTACATGGCACGCGAAGCGCACAAACTGGAAACATTCTGCTAGACCACTCATTGCCAGATTTAGTCAGGGAGGCACAAGTGCAGGTGCGCATCGGGGCATGGGCAAACTTGTGCTGCGGAGTAGGGTGGCTGTGCACACGGACACCAGTCCTGGAGGCTTCGACAGAACACCTGACCACCTGCTTTGTGTCCACCCCGCCCCCTTGACTCGCATCATCACTCGCGCCGCTGCCGCCGCCGCCGCCGCCGCCGCCCAACCCCAGCATTTGCGTTGGTACTGCGCAGAGAATGGGTAAAAAGGGTGGCAAGGCGTTCCTCAAGTCGGCACGCGCTGCCCGGGCAGAGGTGGACGACAGCGAGGAAGCCCGGCAGGCCGTGCCTGAGGCAGCAGCCCTCACAGCAGCAGCCGGCAGCCCACAGCCGCAGCCGGCTTTCAGTGCCAAGGCTGCTGCCTTCTTGAAGGACGGCGCCGCTGCTGACGATGCCAGCAGCAACGATGATGAAGAGCCGGGGGCGGAGACACGCGGCAAGATGCTGCAGCGCCACAAGCGTGTGCGTGCAGCAGTGCAGACGAGTGGCTTTGCGGCCTGCTGAGCTAGTGTTACCTGTGTGGATGTGCCAACGGTAGTACATCGCCTCGTGCGTGCCAACCTGCCACCGCCGCTGCGCCCTGCTTCACAATCAATGCTGTGCAGGAGCAGAAGGCTCTCAAAGACCAGATGAAGCGGCTGGGCAAGGAGGGCAAGGATGAGGGTGCCAAGCTGGAGGCGGAGATGGAGGCGCGGCACGCCGCCGAGCTGGCATCGCTAGCGGGCGACAGGGAGAAGACCGTGGCAGAGGCGGTGGCGGTGGCAGACTCGCTGTACAGCGTGCACCTGGGGGACGAGGAGCAGGGAGAACAGCAGCATAAGGTGTGGAGGCTGCGCTGCACTGAGCCCGATCGCCGCTGTGCAGAGCAACGGGGCCAGGTGCTGCTTTGCAGGCATGGCCTCGGCCAAATGCTGTCGCTGAAATCTGTACGACCTCCTGCGTGCCCTGTGCAGAAGGCCAGCAAGGGGCAGCGGCGGCGGGAGCAGCGCCAGCGGGAGGAGCAGGAGCGAGAGGCCCGCATCCAGGCGGAGCTTGCTGAGCTGGGGGACACTGGTAGGTTGGGACGGGACCGCAGGCCGTGATGCACCAGCTTATGGTGAAAATATTTTAATTTCATCATACCTGGGCGAAAGGCATCGCTCATACCTAGGCTCATACCTAGGCGAAGGGTATCCTCGCTCACATCGCATCGTCCCATCCCATGCCTGCAGACCGGGTGATTGAGCAGCGCGAGCTGAAGGCCATCCTGCGGCCACTGGGGCTGGTGATCCGGGAGATCCCACCCGACGGCCACTGCCTCTATCGCTCCCTGGGTAAGCTTAGCGGTGGTGGACGTTGGTGCGGATTGCTGACTGGAATGTGATCTGTCATGATGGTGGCTGCTTCGTGCCATGCGTCCCCCCATTACTGAGGTCAATCCTGCCTGACTTTTCCTCTTGCCAGAGGACCAGCTGCAGCAGCTGCCTGCCGAGGTCGCGCCACCTCCAACGGCCGAGGGCGAGCAGGATGCAGACGAGCTCAACTTCCTGCTGCTGCGGCAAAAGGTGGCCGAGCACATGCGCCAGCACGCTGAGGAGTTCAAGCCCTTTGTGCTGCCGGTGCGCTGCTTGCTGCTGCTGCGCTACTTGCCACCTCTTCTGGTTGGTTTGGTTTGTTACTCGCTATTCCCTACCTGCCCGCCGGCAGGAGGATCTGGCCAGCGGCGGCGGCGATGACCTCTTCGAGGCATACTGCACAGAGTTGGAGACCACAGCAGCATGGGGAGGGCAGGTGGAGCTGCAGGTGGGTGTATGGTGGCATGGGATTTTGGGAGAAAGCGAGTCACCAAGCGGAACCAAGCAAGTTATGTTAAACAACTTGATCATGCACCATGTTGCAGGCACTGGCGCAAGTGCTCAAGTCGCACATCGCGGTTTACACCGTGGGCATGCCGGTGCAGGATCTGGGAGAGGAGTACAAGGGTGGGTGGCTTGTAGTGGTTTTTTGCTGCTGTGTAGCAGTACTGAGCGTCAGTAGCATGAGCCTTGTGATTGTCCACGTCTGCAGAGAGCGGACGCACGCTGCGGCTGTGCTACCTGCGGCACGCATACGGCCTGGGGGAGCACTATGAGAGTGTGGTGCCGGGGGTGGCAGATGATGAGGAGCAGACAGATGAGGATGATGCGGCGGCGAATGATGAGGAGTAGCTGATCAAGTTGGGCGGCAGTTGCCTTGCTCATTTTGTTTGCCCGAAGCGCTGGTGTAACGGCACTTCTGCGTGTTTGACAGCATGCTGAGTGCGCTGCACCGTCGCCGTCAGCGCTGCCCATGTAGAACCCCTGGTTGCAAACTCGTGTCCATCATATTCCTGATCTGAGGTGCATGTGCAGCCCATCAATCAATCAAGGGAATCAAGGTTGCAACAGCCAGCAGTGCACGTCGGTGATCAACATTCGTTGCGGAATGAAGTTGTGACGCGATCGACTCGCCGTCTGCAATACCAGCTGCCGCAAGAGGCGCCTGTTATGTTTGTGACGCTCATGTGCGTTTCCCCGGCCGACCTGCCCTGCCACACCTGCAGTCGTCGTCGTTAGCCCCGCTTCTGTCATGGATTGGCAGCAGCCACCACCGGCAGGGGCGGCACCAGGCGCGGCGACGCAGCTGCCGCCGCCGGTCACCACCGGCTCAGCGGCCGCCCCGCCGCACCACGCCAAGACGACGCAGATGGTGCGGCCGCCTGTGCCGCTGGGCCCCGTGGCCGCAGCACCCACCAAACGCGTGGGTCGCAAGGGCGCTGGCCGTCGTATCATGTCGGTCGGTGCTGCAGAGCCAGAGGAGCTCGTCAAGCTGGGGCCCGAGATCAGCCGCACCAGCGAGCGGCTGCGCACGGGTTGGCGCCCCGTCCAGCTGTCGGCCGAGGACAAGGCGACACCGGTGGTGCTGGATGACAGGCAGCTGACTGCTAGCAGCAGCGCCGGCTACAGCATGGTGAGCTGCCGGTTATGTACGCTGGGTTGGCCAATGGCTTTTCTGCGACCTGTGTGGCGCAGACAACTTGGCCACAGCACATCCAATCCTGTGCATTCTACTCCTGCCGCTGCTCCTCAGGTGCGGGCCACGCACGGCGCCTTTACTGGCACCTGGTACTACGAAGTGAAGGTCGACCAGCTGGGGCCCACTGGCGCTGCTCGGTCAGTTGTGGCGGGGCGAACGCGTGTGAATGGCACCCAGCACCCAGGGATTCCTGCTTCTACTGAACTTAACCCATACTTTCTTCCGCAGAATCGGGTGGTCCACACGGCACGCGGAGCTGAACGCCCCTGTGGGTGCCGACAAGTGCGGCTTCAGCTACCGCAGCGCACAGGGCAGCAAGGTGGGTGTTTGGCATCTGAGAGCATGTGCAAGCACCGCTACCAGTGTTTTGCACACGTGCTGCCTGGAATTGTGGTGGTTGCCAATGAATGCGTGCGTGCCTCTTGCTGCAGGTACATGCAGCATGGCGGGATGACTATGGGGAGCCCTTTGGGCAGGGAGATGTCGTGGGCTGCGTGCTGCACATGCCCGAGGGCGGGCGGCCATTTGAGCGGGGAGTTGCGGATGTGGTGAAGTACAAAGGCAAGCTGTACTTTGAGGAGCAAGAGCAGGCCGACCCCCAGAAACTGCCTGGCAGCTTTGTGGCCTTCACGCTCAATGGCAGGCTGCAGGTGCGCTGCGGCCTGGGTTTGGCTACCATAGTCCTTGCCCGACTGCTAATGCTGCATTTGGGCACTCCTGCACTGCGTCATTGCGTCCATGTATGTCGGACAAGGATGTGTGAAAAGTGTGTGTGTCATACTTGCAGGGCAAGGCGTACGAAGACATTGCAGAGGGCACCTACTGCCCCGCCATCTCTCTCTATACCAACCCCACGAAGCAACAGACCGCAGCGACCGTGACTGTCAACTTTGGAGAGCAGGGCTTTGCGTTTGACCCGCCCCAGATAGACGGCTGCCAGACGCCGCGGCCAGCCTTTGAAATGGCAGGACCGCGCCCTGGGCAGCAGCAGCAGCAGCCAGAGCAGCGGCTGTCAGCTCAAGGGCAGGCGGCTTCAGAGCAGCTAGAGCAGCAGCAGGCGCGGCAGGCAACGGAACCACCAGAGCAGCACCTGCAGCAGGAGGTTCGGCCCATGGAGGTTGAGCCAGGAGCCGCTCCAGCACAGCAGCAGCAGTCAGCAAGTGAACAAGCAGCGCCTGGCAGCACTGGAATGGGTGGGTAGGTGCCGTGGGGTTGTGCAGCGTTTCTTCGCGCATGTAATGGAGCCATGAATGAAACTGCGGATGCAAGAGGATTCTGCTGCCCAGCTCCCAAATCCCATCCATTTATGGAGTGACGATGCAGCTTTTTCCTAGGGCTGATTTACAAAGTTATCATCGCTTCATGGCCAGCAGTGCTGGAGTGCAATGGTGCTGAGGTGCAAGCAGAAACCAGGCAGGCCAGGTGACAAAAGAACATGTCCAAAATTGGGGACAGGAGAGCACAAGGCTGAAGGGAGTGCTGGGACCTCCAACCGATGCCGACCAAAAAGTCAGTTCAGTGCAAAGAGGGAAGGTGTAGGCGATGGCTGGGCCAGATGTAGCATGCAGATAGAGCCGGAAGGAACAGCAACAAGGAAAGCAACTTGCACATCCGTCCAAGCAGAGGGATATGTCAAGAGGCAGCAGCAAACTCGTAATAAACAAAAGGCAGAGAGAAGACGTTGTGCAAGGTTTGGGATCAACTGTGCCGGTGGCATAAGTGGGCCCATCACCCTTACAGAACACTACACAGTAGGCAGATCCTGCTGCACCGTTGCCCGCACCACGGCGCGAAGCCGCGCCAGAAGTGCACGCAGCCCCGCCAGGAAATTTGTGTCGCGGCCGCCGTCTTCGGCCTGGAAGGTGTGCGCAAAGTCAACCATGCGCACCCGCACCCCTGCCTGGTCGGCATTTCTGGCACCGCCCTCGTACAGCAGCAGCACTGCACCAAGGAAGGCAGCGAGCAGAGAGGGGGCCGAGCTAGTTGGCAGTGCAGCACGCTAACCACAAGGGGGTTCTGTCCTCTAAGGCTGCATATTCATGGCCCATCCCCACACACCTGACGAAGAGTAAAAGTGGAAGTCACGCTGCACCGAGAACCAGGCCTCCAACGCCTCCAGCTGCACAATGGCACCCGCTGCGCCGCCATACACGTCTGCTGGGCGCAGTCCGTGCTCTGCATCATGGGCAGACAATTTCAATCAAAGCGAAGTGCTCTGCATTTACATGTGGCCACCGAAATGGACTGCTTGATGAACAGCTCAGCCTGCCCTTGCTTCCCGCATGACCCACCATTGTGTGCAAAGGAAAGCAACGCCTTGTCCACCAGCTCCACCGGCAGCGTCTTGCACCAGCGCTTGCTGGCGCGCCAGTAGCCGCCAGCACCGTGGCGGAACACCTGCAGAGCACAGCGTGAGAGAGGAGATGTTTGGGGCCCACACAGGCCTCAAACATGCTAGGCTTGGTATGCTACCAATACAGAACCACAAAGCAACAAGGGGCCCCACCTGCATGCCACAGATCTTGAACCCCAACGCTGCCTGCGTGGTGGACTCATCCTTCTCCCTGCACAGCCATTCAAAGCAGCCAACTCTAGCGAAATGCTGCAGGCGACAATGCTGCGGACCGAGAGAAGGAAAACTACCAAGCGCTGTCCGCGCAACACAACCACTACATCCTGCTATGCATCTTGCATCAGCCTGGCCTCACTTGCAGCGTTGAATGTACTTGTCATCGGCCTGTGGGTACCAGGTGCGGAAGCCGACTTTGATGTCAATGATGCAGGGGTGCCGGTAGGCGCGTGCCAGGTCCTCCAGCTCCAGCAGTGTGCGCGCATCCTCGTGCTGCGTCACGCCATCTGCGTGCGCGGCGGGTGGCAGGCACACTGTTAGGGAGAGACACCCAGCAAAGCCTCGGATGGGCAGGGCGAGCCACCAGGTGGAACCCCACGCAAATATGCAGCACGCTCCAGATAATCACTATTCGGCAAAATCCCACCATCCCAAGGCCCCTGCACTCACAATACTTGGGGATGACGTGGAGCAGTGGCGCATTGCGCACTGAGAAGGGCAATGTGGCAAAATTGGCGCTGCTGCCGCCGTTGCTGCTGCTACTGGTGGCCTGCCCCTCGCCATGCAGCCAATGCACCTCGCTGCTGACAGTGGGGACAGTGCCCAGGCCTGACATCCGCGCAAGCGCAGCTGCCAGTGCACCGCTGTCCCCATCGACACTGCCTGCTGACGGCACTGCTGCTGCTGCAGCCCGCTGCTGCTCCTGTGGCCCCGGAGGGTGGCTGTGGTGCAGCAGGCCTGACATAAATGGCGAGCGGGGCGGCCGGCTGTTGGATCCCACACTCAGGCCGCGGTCAAATGCTGGCTGGCCCAGCAGCGCCGCCGCCTGGGCATGCTCCGGCAGCGTGTAGGCCTCCCTGGGGCTCTCTATCATGTGGCGGTGCTCACAGCTCGCCTCCACACTTGGTCCAGGAGAAGTTTGCTGCTGCTGTGGCGGCGGTCGCGAGAGCTGCGGCAACGCAGCCGCCAGGGTGCTGCCCCCCTCGCTACCACGCACATCTGCCGCGCCGGGGCTGCCCTGTAACTGCACACCTGCGTCTGGGCTGGCGTAGCTGCCGCCAGCCATGCCTTCATGGAAGTTTTCCATGAGATGCTGCCCTGTTTGCTCAGAGCAATCGCTGTCGGGAGACTGCCCATACTGCGCCGAAAGCTCCTGCTCCTCCACCTCCTCGCCCTGCCATGCCTCACCCTGCTGCTCCTGCTGCACCTCCTGCTGCTCAGGCGACACAGCTGCCGCTACGGCCACTGCTGTCTGCTGCTGCTGCGGGGGTGAGCTGCGGTGGGGACTACTGCCCAATAGGCCCAGCTTTGCCATGGTGCGGCCGGAAAGCAGCCCCAGCTCATCTCGCTGCAGGTCAGGCAGGCAGGGCCGGCATTAGGCAGCCAAGCACCAAACCAAATGGTAGTTGCAGGACAGGATCAGCTGCACGTGCTGAACGCCAGCCATGCAGCACACCTGCATGACGGCCATGGGACCTCGTTCCTTCAGGCTCCCTCTGAACGAGGGGAACAGCTGGCGCAGACGGCGCTGCTGCCACGGCAATGCGGCCTCCGCTAAAGCAGCCGTGTCGACAGCGCTATTGACGCTGCCGCCGTTGGGCACCGGCACGGGTGCGCTGCGCTGCAGCTCGGCCGCCGCCGCCTGCTCGCTGTGCAGCATGGCGTCCACAACATCATAAAAGGCCCGCTCACGGTCGCCGCGTGGCCCGCGCTGCAGCGGCTTGTAAAAGTGGCCGCGGTCGTCTATCAGCGACCCTGCCTTGCCATCTGCAGGGGGCCCAGGCAAATCGAGGCAGAAAAACCTTGGCTGAGCGGCACGTGACGTGCCGGTACAGCGCCACCCGCCATCACCGGCGCCGGCAGCGGTCCTACTCACCCTCAAACAGGTGTCCCGCCACCTGCGACATGCCAGGCAGGCACCGTGTGAGTCAGGGCCAGGCGGAGGGGCGTGGGAGGAGAAGGTGCCGGAGGCAGCAAGGCTGAGCCCACCTGGTGCTCGCAGGGGCGCAGTCCCTGCCCCAGCCTCGGCGTCGCCAGGGTTGCTTGCGGTTGCACAGATCAGTCGGGTGCAGGTCTTCTTTGTTGGGCTTCTTTGGGGAGGCAGGCACTCGAGCAAGAGGTCTTCTTAAAACACCTCCTGTCTGCAAGCTTCGCACTGAGGATCAAGTGATAGAAAGGTTGTTGTTTGAGCATCTGGCTAGGCGCGAGGTGCGACTGCCTCGCTGGCAGCGGACTCACGACACAGCGATCGCTCCTGCGCTTTCGATCGCCCGATCTGGGCTTGCACACAAGTAGCGCACCCAGGGGTGCAGCCACCGTCGTTTACGACTTTGTTTTGGCAACACCTCTGGCTGTCTCTGCCACGTCCTGTCGCTAGAGCAGAGGTGGCACATGGATGATGCGCAGCCCCCTAGCAAGCGGACCAAGCTGGGCGAGGTGGCAGCTGGGGTGAGGTTGACGTGCGGCTGGCCAGCCAGCACGTTCCAGAGGGATGTGGGAGAATCGAGGAGGTAATACTACACGCCCCGCATGCTGCTGCGTGTGCAGGCAGCGGCACCGCCTGGCGGGGCGGGCCCCGCCGAGGGAAACGCGCAGGCCGGGTTGGACGCTGACTTGCCTGCGGCTCGCGCATCAGCAGATGGAGGACAGCAGCAGCAGCAGCAGCAGCCAGCAGCAGGGGCTGCCGTGCAGGCACCGCTGCCGACACCGGACAACACCTACATGAACCGCGAGGCGCGGCACATGGAGCGGGAGCACACCGGCGAGCTGCAGGCCGTGTACATTACAAACAATGGCTCCATAGAGAATGGCAGACTGCTGATTGGCTTGAAGAACGTGTTCAGCAAGTGCCTACCCAACATGCCCAAGGAATACATATGCCGCCTCATCTTTGAGCGCCGCCACAAGTGGGTGGTCATGTGACGCCGCACGTCGCAGTGGTCGTCATGCCCGCAGCGTGCGCGAGTCGCTGCACAGTGCACCCCCTGCAGGCTACAGCATGCCGTTGGTGTGAAACACTCCACTGGAGGAACATTCCACCTGCACACATCCTAACTGTGTCGCCCGTGCCCAACTTGCGTCGCCTGCAGGTCTGTGGTGATCGTGAGAAACGGCAGCCAAGTCATTGGCGGCATCACCTACCGCACTTTTCCGGGCACACCCGCCGCCAGGCTGGGCGAAATTGCGTTCTGTGCAGTGGCGCAGACGCTGCAGGTCACAGGCTGCGGCACGCGGCTCATGAACTGGACCAAGGTTGGTGCAGTGTGTGGGGGGATCGCGGGGTCAAGGGAGCGGACCCAACTGGAGGGGCCGTCGTCACACAGCACCCACCAGGCACTTGAATCCTGTTCTCGCTGAAACCGTTGGGCTATTCCCCTGCTTGCAGCACTATGCACGGGAGATGGATGGGTTGGAGTACTTTCTGACCTATGCCGATAACAACGCTGTGGGCTACTTCTCCAAGCAGTCCTTCACCAAGACGGTGACACAAGAGAAGGATAAGGTGCGCTTTTCGGCATCAGTGCTTTCGCGCCAGGGTGCCTGGGCATTGCTATGTCCAAGCTGCTTGCTCTGCGATTTTTCCCTGCCTACAACCTGTCATGTCGCATGCCATCACCTTGCCTTCCTCTCAATTGGTGGCCTGCAGTGGTTTGGGTTCATCAAGGATTATGACGGTGGCACGCTCATGGAGTGCCGCATCCACCCGACGCTGCCCTACGCCTCCTTCCCAGGTGGGCGTGGGAGATAGCGTTCAACCCTGGCGCTGATGCTGCATGCGCAGGCAATCTGTTGGCCGTCCCTTCAGGGGATGTCACACCAGCAGAGTCCCTACCCTGCCCCTGCCGCCATCATGCAGAGATGTTGGCGAAGCAGCGGGCGGCGCTGGAGGGCGAGGTCAAGCGCTACACTACCGGGCATGTGGTGCACCCGGGGCTGCCGCACTGGAAGGAGGGTGGTGGGCCGATGCCGGTTGGGGACATCCCAGGTGTGCAGGCAGGCAGCACCCACGAAACATAACCATCGAGTGGCAGGTTAAATGCTTGCCGTCCACGTTGCCTGGCCATCATAAGGGCCATCACATGACCTGCGCGCCCTCTGATGCAGGTGTGGTGGAGGCGGGGTGGAGCCATGCGGCAGGCATGCTGTACAAGGAGTATCAGATTGCCATGAACGGCCAGATTTTGGACCCTACCGAGGTACGCAAGTGGGGCAGTAACATGGTGTTGTTGCCCCTCCAGCGCTGGATGCTGCAGCAGCTCTCTGCCTGGGGCACGCACTGGCTAGATGAAGCCCACTTACCTGGGCCAAGTCTCGCTGGCCTGTTGAACTCCTGGACCTCCTCCTCTACTCCTCCGCTCCACCTCCGTGTAGGACAACCTGTTTGAGTTCATGACCATGCTGCTGAAGAAGGCGCAGAAGCATGCCGATGCGGGCCCCTTTCAGCGCCCCGTATCGGCCATGGACGTGCCCGATTACTACTCCATCATCATTGTGAGATTGGGACATTTGTGCTGGAGGAGAGCTGGTGGTAGTTGGAGGGCAGGTTGGGTCACATTTGTGCAGTGGTTTGGGCGAAATGGTGCTCGATTTTGCGCTGGTAATGCTCCTGCCTCTTGCCCCTTCCCCATGTGATTCTCCCTGCCAGGACCCCATGGACTTGGGCACCATGGAGGAGCGGCTGAATTCGAGACGCTATTACATCACGCTCAACATGTTTGCCGCCGACTTCTACAAAATGGTCAAGAACTGCCAGGTGAGAAGCACGCTTTCTCCTGGCCTGCCTCATTTCATACGTGATGGCAAGGTGGTGGTGGAAGCGGGTTTTCTCTCCCAATCCGTGACATGCTGGCTTGTGTTGCTGACGGCGCAGCTGTACAATGGCGCCACAAACCCTTACTTCCTGGCCGCCAAGCGCATATATGAGGTCTTCTGGTCGGTCATGCGCAGCAGCATCCTGCCCAACCTGGAGGCCGCAGGCATCGTGGAGCCCAAGCTGTAGTGGCGCCAGACTTGCAGTTTCAGGAGCAGTGCACAAAGGGTAGCTTGACCTAGCTGGTAGCCAGTTGCAGCAGCGGCTGTTCCATTTACATTCAGATTTCGTAGGCAGGACTTAAGAGCTAGCAGTATCTATCCATCGGTCAGTGCTTTGCACACCTACAAACATGTAATCATTCCTATCTTCCAGTACAAAGGCAGCCTTCGACAATGTGCCTGGGCTGCCCTGATTCGCCTCAGCCCCAGCTACACATCATCCCCTGCTCTGCGCCTTGGCCACTGCTGCAGCCCGGCGTGCCGCATGAGCTTCTTCGGCCTTGCGAGCACGCTCTGCCACTGAGGCAGGCAGCTTGGCCGCCTTGCTGCCCCTTGCCGCCGATGTGCCAGCCTTGGAAGCGGGCACGCCCTTCCCACGTGCGGCGCTGGTGCCGTTGGTAGTGCACAGCACCGGCGCTGGGCCTGCCGTGGTGCCAGCCGTGGGCGCTGCTGCGCCTGCGGCGTTCTCTGCTCCAGCAGCTGCAGACAATGTACAAGGTGGATGCATTGGCCTTCCCTGGTCGCCACAAACATACTCCAAAGGCCGCAACGCATGTCGAGCCCCTCACCTGGAATCGCCAAGCTCTTCCTGCTGGCCTGCCGCTTGACCGCAGGTGGCTCGCTCTCCAGCGGTGCCTCCACACTGGCCTTGCGCTTGCCGCCAGCCACCCGGGGGTGGTCAGCTGCCGCTGCAGCCGCCTGTGCCCGCTCCTGCTTGTCGTGTCCAGTGCGGCGCCGCCGTATGGGCACGGCGCCGTTCGGTCCAGCACCCACGTCACCCTGCTGTTGCTGCAGCTCCTGCTGCTGTGGTGGCGCCTCCTGGTCAGATGACTGATTCAGGAAAAACAGAGGGTTGAGAGAGGCAGGGTTTGGTGCCGCCACTTTTTGCCGCATGCCTGATGCCGGCTCCTCCTCTCCCTGCTGGCTGTAGCATCCCTCTGCGCTACTGACCGGCGACAGCTCTCCGTTCTCCTCCCCGGCTGCCATAGGCTGCTCCGCCAGCCGGGCTGGGCCTGCCCTGCCCGGCTCCTCAGCCATGAAGCGGTCAAACAGCTGCTTGGCGATCTTGTCCGAGGCGATGTTTGCCTACAGGGGGTGGTAGCGACAGGATGGTTGCTTCCCAGTTGCGGAAGCCTCCATCTTGCTCACTGGCAGGTTGGTGCTGTGCCGCCGCCGACAGCAGTCGGCATCAGAGGCCTGGCCGCCAGTCGGTACCAAATATTGCTTGCGTGCTCAGGGGGGCGCAACTAAACAAACCGACGAGAAACACCGTGACAGGTGCTGCAGCCCACGCTCACTTTGACCCCGTTCGCCATTGCCAGCCGCTGCAAAGCTCGTCTTGGTAATTGTTTGACCGCAAGCTGAAGTGAGACAGGAGTCAGGCCGTGGAGCGACTCCTCCATTTCGCTTGTGCTTGCGCAGGCTTTCAAACAGTTCAACAGGAGGAAGCCGTTTAGCCCAGAGGAAGTTGATTCTCAGCGATACTGGGGAAGCACACCAGCTGCAAAACGCAGCGTGCATGTCATGGCCAGGCGCAGGCGCATGCAATGCAGGGCTAAGTAGCAATGCTGGCCTTGTGATTGATAATCACAGTCCTTAAATGGCATGTGGGATAAGGGCAATGTGTGAACAAAATAGCAGGGCAAGCACAGCTGGCGTGGGTGCTTGAACTCGATTCGGTGCTGCAAACAATGTGAATCGCGTGGGCGCTGGCCGCCTCGCACGCCCTCAAAATCACCGCAGCGCATAGATGTGGGCGCTGAGGGAGGCGGGCAGCGGAACGCCCTTGAGCTGCTTGGCCGCCTCCTGGGCATACGGCTTCCACTGCGAGGCGGCGCTGAACTCTGCCACCTTCATGCCCGTCTTCAGGCCGCGCAGCAGCTGCACAGGCGGCCGGAGGTGGACTAGTGACACAACGCAGGATCACCCTGGAATCTAGGAACATCGCAAACACAGGTTGCTCAATCATGCAGCATCCATCGGCTTGCACCCCAGCTCACCTGCACCACCCGCAGCACGAAAAACATGTCCGGCGGGAACTTCTCGATGCCCATTGCTTTAATCGGAGAGTCCGGGGCAAATGGGTCCACACTGCATGCATGATGTTTCGGCAAAGGGAGGGTTCCTGATGTGCAATAGGCCACCACAAACCCGAGGAAATAGCCCTCCCCACCCACCAGAAGCCTGTCCTGTGCAATGGAGCAGCCCACCCGACTCCCTCAGCAACCTCCAAACCCTCACCTGCCCCGCGTGTCAAACATGCCGTACGCCAGCCGTGCCTGCAACGGGGCCTCCTCCCGCTCCGTCACCACGCCCACACCACGCAAAGCTGTCGCAATGGCAGCGTTGTCCCCCTTGTCCAGAGCCAGCACCAGCTGGGCAAAGGCCGCACGGTAAGGGTCCGGCAGCTGCTTGGACTGCCCATAATCGATGAGTCCAATCTGCAGGAGGGCAGTGCAGGTGAAGGGCTGGTCGAGGGAGGAGCGCATCCCATGTTTGAGCGCTTGGTGTTCTGTCCTAATCCCATGTGCCGACACCCATCTCAAGGTCAAGCTGCACGACAGGCTCAGGACGCCACGACTGATCCCATCTGACCTCGCACCCTGCCCACCTTGCCACCCTTCATCACAAGGATGTTGCCAGGATGGCCGTCTGCTTGAAACAAGCCGTCCAGCAGCAGCATGCGGCCGTACGCCTCTGACACACGGCTCAGGATGCGCTTGGCCGCCATCTGCTTGGTGGCTGCCGACAGGCTGCACAGGCAGACAGGTGGCGCACGGGTGATACTGCAGTTGACCCAATCAATGACCTCAGCTGCCCGTTGCAGCAAATGCCTAGAGTTTCCAAGAGACAAGACACCCACTTTTGAGTGTGTCGCTCCAGGCGGGTGATGGGGATGCCATCCAAAAAGTTCATTACCAGCAAACGGTCTGTCACCATGCCAGGCACGCTGCGCGGCACGTCGATGCGGTGGTTGAGCTTCTGCGGCACAAGAGGCGACGGGGAAGCAGGCACAGCAACCTGAGCATGCATTGAGACCCGATTCACGATTCGAAAGCGCCATCAAGTTGGAACATCGAATACCTGGAACTGGCGGGCCACGGCATCCATTATGCGAGCCTCCCGGCAGAAGTCAAACTCCAGTCGAATCTGGAACAAAAGCAGGCGTGGCGGACACTGCTCAGCTTCAACTGCCGAGTGCACATTGGGGGGCAGGCAATGCCAAACTCCACCCAAGCACGTCTGAGCAATTGCTGCCTGCACCTGCGCCGCCAGCTCGTCCACTGCAGACACCATGTCAAACTTGATCTCAGTCTTGGACAGGAAGGCGGCGGCCAGGCGAACGTTGGACAGGTCGAGAGACATGGTGGGCAGCGCATCCGGGTATTGAACCTGTGCAGCAGGCAGGGAAAGCAACAGAGGCAATTCAACTAATCTGGAAGGCAGGAGGAAACAAACATGAGGGTGCCCGAGGGTCGAGAGCCCCTTACCTTGACTGCGACGATGCCATCCTTGGGGCCCTTCTCGCAGGCCAGCTCCATGTCCACAGGCGGCCTGAAAAGAAGAAGAGGGAAAGTGTAGTGTTTTGATGCGCTCCCAACATCCACGTCAGCGCTGTTAAGTCAACCATGGTCCACCCACCTGCCCGGCGCTATTTCTGGTGTGTAGCCGCCACGCAGCAGATCCCACACTGGACGCAGGAATGGCCGCCCCTTGCGCTGCCTCGGACACCGTAGCTTGGCCTTGTGCACCTATGAGCAGAGCAAACAACTAAAAGCAGGTGACGGCTGCACATGTGTGACACCAGACCATCTGTGCCAGCAGCAGGCGGAGCTCAGCAACCAATCAGAGGGCAGCACCTGGCCAATAGAGGCAGAACCAAGCGGCTCCTCCAGATCAATCCACTCAAACAGCGCCTCCAAGGGCGCCCCCAACTCCCGCTCAATCACTTCTCGTGCCTGTGCAGCCGGCATGGGTGGCACCTGCAACGATGCCAGCGCACCAGCTTAGTGGGCAAAATTTTGCCCTGACTGGGTTTGATTACAGTTGCCAGGCCAAGGACCCTTGGCCCCACAAATACATAGCAGATTGCCCAGGCCCAACCCACACCTGGTCGTGCAGCAGCGACAGCTTGCGGCAGATCTGCTCCGGCACAAAGTCGCCGCGAGCGCCGATGAACTGTCCAGTCTGCAGTTGCCCAACCACCAAACCAATCAAGTAACTCAGGCATGTCATGGCATGACACGCGAGTATGTACACAAAAGTAGCAATCAGTACTGATGCCATCATTGCAATGGAGGCGGCCATCATGACCATGCCATCCAGCTAAGCAGAATTCACCTTCAGGTAGAAGCCGCGCAGGTCGACACACAAGCTGTACAGCTGCTGTGCCGCCTTGGTGTGCTGCCGCGCCCAGAGCTCATCCTTGAGCCGCGCCTCATCCCATCCCAGCGCTTGCAACACCAGCGCGTGCGCCTGGCAGGCTTTGTAGCCGGCGTAGCACTGACCAGCGCGCCCCCAAAACTGGACAGTGCGGACCAGCGACTCCAAGGCCCTGCCGCCCCGTGGCTCCTCCAGTGCCATTTGATCAATGCGGCGACAGTGATGGTGGGATATCGATGTGTTTTCTAACAAGTAGACAACACTGGTGGGGGCCCTGCACCTGTGGGGGCGGGGCGGGGAAGGTGGGGTCCGGGGCGGGCGGAGAGAGGGCCAGGCGCTGGCCACAAATGCGGCGCGATCGTGCTCGACCCCGCCAATATCAGGCCAGTGTACACATGAGGCTGCCGGCTGAGCCGCGAAGCCACCGCCCAAAGCGGCCTCACGCCCCCGAGCAGGCCAGCACCACCAGCCCACTCACAAGAGCTCGATATATGTTTGAAAGCACAATGCGCCAACTTCAGAAGCGATATGAAAGGCCAGCAGGTGATGACATGGCCTGGCAATCGCATGTGCACGCCTGGACAAGCCAGAAGACGCTGCCCCAGCATGTCTCTATCAGTCGTGTCAGACTACATTACACACGGGAGGTTGTGACATAGAGGCCCATTCAAATCCGGACAGGCACTACGATGCACTGGAACGCTCGCCGTGTTGAAGGGTGCAGCGAGGCCGAGCCGAACGAGGGCGGTCTGCCCTCCAACTGCCTGCGCTGCGCTGCTGGGTGTTTGGCCGTAGATGGGGTGCTGGGTGGCCCTGGCTGCCAAGAGCGGCGACCTAGTCGCACTGGCGCCAGGCGCGCGCCCAGGGGCCAAAAAGCTGCTGCTACTGCTGCTGCGGGGGTGGTCTTGGCAATCAGCTGCGGCAGGGGAGCGGAGCAAGGGCAGCTGACATTAGAGTCAACACCACACCGCAGCTGACCAAATCCGCATTTCTAGAGTTGCACCAAACAGCGGGCAGCTTGTGGACAGCAGCACCAACAATGCTGCTGTCAGGTACTGCACAGCACCAAGCCTCGTAGACAAAGCTCCTCTGCACAAGCAACCGAGCACCAGCCACGCGCAGCCGGCGCGCCCCACTCACTCGACGTTCTCCATCGCCTGCACCTCTGCCTCTGTGAACTTGCCCTTGTCGGCCAGGCCCTTGCCCGCGCGCTTGCGCTCCAGCAGCGCCTTGCGATCCTTGTCCAGCTTCAGCTTGTTGACGACCACCTTGGAGGGGTCCACGCCCACGTTCACGGTGGCGCCTGCGGCAGGGAGCGCGGGGCGGCGAGCGGCGGCGGTGACATGCAGCAGGCAGAGGGGTGGCAGTGGGGCAGTGGGGCAGCATTGAGCGGCCACGGAGGCCCCGAGGCTGGGGAAGGCTTGGCATGGAAGTGGGGCAGGGCCCCTCCCCCGGGGCTGGAAATAATGGATGCTGCTGAGCTACTGGCCGCAGCCACTGCGGGGTGACAGCACAGTGCGACGACAGTGCCTCAGAAAGCTGCCGCTGCGATGCATGTTATGCTGGTCCCCTGCTGCTGCTGGCACGTGAATGCCGGCAGCGCCAAACGTTGGTGATCCTGCGCCGCCGGCATGTCTGGCAAAGCGCTGGTGCAGCTATCCACCGAGCTGTGCATCGCCATGATACAAAGCTCCACACTGCTGCCCATTGCATAATTGCCATGCGCTCCTCGCTGAGCCTGACATCAAACATGTGTCGCAGGGTGCTCGGCTGCTCCACGTGGCACATGTTTCGTTCTGCGGGGGCTGCAGCCGCTGCTGCATCTGCCGGTTGCTGCTGCCAACGCGAGAAACAAGCCCCATCTGACCCCATCTGAGTTGATGCTGCGGTTGCTTTGCCTGCTGGTCACTTGCCACGTCGCCCACAGCCTGACCGCAGCAGCGGCAGCAGCCAGCAGGTTGGCAGGCAAGTTGCATGCAAGCGGCAGCAGGGCAACTGAGCAGCAGCGCGCTTAACACGGCAGCGGCTGCAGCTCTCCCGCCGCGTGCCACCGGCACGCACCGTTGACCTTCTCGCGGGTGATGCGCTCGATGTGGATCACCCACTTCTTGCGGTAGACCTGCACCACCTTGCCCTCACGGCCCTTGTAGGTGCCGCGCACGACAGTCACCTCGTCATCCTTGCGGATGGGCACGGAGCGCACCTGCGGAGTAAACCCAGCAAGTGTCAGAGAGTGGGGACGCAGCGAGTGGGCGGGGCGGCGCCATGGCAGGGCGGCAGGGCGTGCATGCGCCGCATGGCCGCGTGCTGTCCCGGCAGTCGCCCCTGCTGCACGCCTGCAGCCTCCTGCCTGGGCTCTGCCCCGGCCAGTCGCGTGCTGCTCGCTCACTCCGTATTTGTTGCGCAGCTCTGGGGACAGCGGCGCGCTCATCAGCTTCCTCCGCAGGCTGGAGGGAGCCGTGAAGTGCGCCTGCAGCACATGGTGGGCTGCCAGCGGTGAGCACATGGCGGAGGCCTCCCCCGAGGGCCGCCAGGCGCCCCACACGGCATGGCTGGCGGTGGTGCGCCTGCGTGTCCGCCCATCGGGCCTGCGCGCCGTCCCCCATGTTCCCACTGCCGCATGACCCACCTTGCGGCACTTCCGCCGGCTGCTGCTCACGGTAGAGCTGAACTTCATCCTGCCCCACCGACCAAAGAGGGCTGCCCAGACGAGGTCGGCCAGTTTCTGCGCGCGCCACCACCCGACCCCGGTCGCCTCCCCCAACTTTTGGTTGCAACAGGGGCAGACTCTGCTCCTCTCCTCCCTTCAGCATTGTGCATATGCATGCCTCCACCCAGCTTCAGCCTCCACCCCGAGTCATGTCCAACATTTGGAGGGCACGATCAGCAGACCGCTGCTGCGTTGTGCGACAGCTCAATGCCCACGGCGTACAATGTGTGAAACGCCGGCCTCGTGCGCGAAGCGCTGCCCGCTGCCCCCCCGCCTGCAGCTACTGGCACGGGGCGGCGCCTGCGGTGCAGCCGGAAGCAGCGGGCAGAGGCCGTCTCGCTGTGGCTGCATGTATGCTCCTATTTGTGTTGGGCAGACGTCATCCATGCTGCGAGCCAATGCAAAGCGTCGCGGGACCCTGGCCGCGCAGCTCAATGCGGCGTGGGCACATCGCCAGTATTGGAGAGCACTTGAGATCATCACAAATTAGCACGCACTCAATTTGCAAGGGTGACAGAGGGTACCCGAGTTGCGTGCAGTTGGCGGATGCACGGGGTGATCACCTCCACGGGGGCCTCAGGCGCTAGGCTTGCAGTGGAAAGACTTGGACTGCATGGACCGCACCACGCGGAAGCAATCATTGCTCCCTGGAGGAATTGCACACAGTAGCCTCTCTTCTAAATGGCACCTAATCAACTGGGGGGGCACACACCAAGCCACTACCTCAAGCCCGTCAGGACGCAAGGATAGGCGCGGGCACCGCCGCTGGGCGAACCGGTAGGGGGCCAATTCTGACAGTCCACAGCTGCAGCGTGTGGTATGTTTCAACTCGATCGAGTGCTCGGAACTGGTTCTCGGTCAAGTCATGCCTGAGGGCTCTTTCCTTGCATCAGCAGCTGCAGGGAAGCTGCAAGACCAACACGTTGCTTGCGAGCTCGAATGCATTAAACGAAGTTTAAGCAGATGCAACACGCATTTCCTTGTCAAAACTTATCAATCCAGCTCCACTGCAAAGCAGCGTTGGCAACCAGCTTTTGCCCCTGCTCTCTCAACTTGAAGTCCAGCCTTCCGAAATCTCTTCTTTTAGTCACCAAGGCATGCGCCTCACGACGATCAGCAGCCTGCTGCTCGCTCTACTTGTGTGCGCCGCAGCGTCAGTCGCTGACGGTGAGTTCGCCCCGTATGCCGCGCCGCCACCGTGACCACCACCTGGCCCTGCGCTGTCCTCCTGCTGGCACTGCACTGCTGACACGGCCATGCCCGCTGCAAGCGTTGTGTGCAGGTCGTGCCATTTCCTTGCGCCTGTCGAGCCGGCGTGCGCTGTATGACGAGGCTCCTGCTGGAGGCACCGATGGTAAGTGGGCTGCACCGCCGACACCTGCCGGGCCACCCATGCCCCCTGCAGAAAATAAATCGACATGTTTCCAATTCAACCCGGCGCTCCCCCTGCCCTGCCCGCAGCTTTCAGCCTTCCCGCTGGCGCGCTGACGCCGCCGCCCTCCGCCCTGCTCAATGCGCCTCCCACCAACGGCTGGACCGCGGTCCCCGGCGCGCATTCCCTCAGCAACAGCACCGACGCTGATGAGGATGCCGTCGACCAAGCAGCACGCATTGAGACGCGCGTCATTCAGGGCGACCCAGACCCCAGGAACGAACTTTTCCCTTACGCGGCATACTTGCAGCTGGAGGCCGGCGAGTATGTCGCCACCTGCTCCGGCTCCCTGGTGGCCCCCGACTGGGTCGTCAGCGCAGCGCACTGCCTCATGCACGAGGGCACCCAGGCCGACCCCGGCCAGCTGGGCGTGTGGATCAAGGGCAGGTGGCACAATGTGGCGGCCGTGTTTGTGCACCAGGGCTTTGACGACAACCAGCCGCCATTCAGCAGGCCCGGCTACGATATTGGCATGTTGAAGTTGTCCCAGGCATCTGATGCGCCTACAGTGGCGCTGCCAGCAGCCAGCGGCCCGCCGCTTCCAGCCCCTGGCGATACAGTGTATGCGGCAGGCTTCGGCCTCGACGATACGGGCTTGAACAGTGAAGTGCTGCGATACACCGACCTGACGGCATTCGACTCTGGGACATGCCCCCAGTCCTTCTTGGACAATTTCTGCGCTGGCGGCGTCACCGGCTTTACGTGCCAGGGCGATTCGGGCGGACCCATCGTGCTGCCCACCGCCACTGGCGATGTGCTGGTGGGCCTGACCTCCTGGGGCTCACTCGACTGCACGGTTCCATATGCTTACTACACCAGGCTTACTGATTATGTGGACCAGATGAACATTTGGATGAGCAGCGGCAATGCTGGCTCCAGCAACAGCAATGTCGGCACTCTCAACATCAACCAGCTGGCCTCTGCCGTTCAGGCATGGATGGGCCAGCAGTTGGGGGGCGGCAACCGGTGAAGCGTTTGCCTTGCTGCTGCCTAGTACAGAAGTTAGGGCATTGATACCCCGCCCCGGACCTTTTCCATGCCATCACCTCTTCTCCTCCTCCGCTGCATCCAATCATCAATTCCTTGGCCGCTGCTCCGGCCTGAACTGCTCCTGATTTCTATGCCCGATTATTACTTGTCTCATTTGACCACAGCTACTCCTCTCATGGAATGCTACTGTTTATGATAATGCATGGTTGCTACAACAACTGCAGCTCTTCTAGTCAACTGCCGCTGTTCAAAGCACAGAGCAGCTTAAGCAGGTCCCAGGCCTGGCACGTCTGCGGGGCTGGCTACAGGCGTGTTGATGATGCTGCTGTCCCGGGACTCGCTGATAATGGCGCCCTCGGGCAGCAGTTGCTTCAGCTGCTGGCATGCTGCCGTCAGCGACTCTGTGGAACGGCTCTCCAGGCTCAGCACGACACCAGCATCATCAACCTGGTTGCTGACAGGGTAGCTTCCAAGAGAGACTGCCTCGCCAGACACCGCTGCTACGTGTTCCAGCGCCGCTGCCACCTACAAGCAGAGCCCAGCCCATCATTCAACTTGGCAGTTCCGGGGCACAAGGGTTGTCTTGAGGATGCACACTCCTTGCACATGCATTTGAGCAAAGGGTCCTAATGCAAGGCACCTGCCTGAGTTTCGTCATTCAATCGTAACCTCAGTAGCACCGTGCGGAAAGGCGCGGCCTGCGGCCCCTCCATCTGCAGGTGTGCCTCCACTGCCCGCCATTTTTTCTGCGGTTCATGTCACAGCAGCATCGGTGTAAGGAGCAGCAAAGCATGTTGAGCAGGTGCAGATTGTAACTAGCTAGCATGCCGATGGGTGCCCCTGTCCTCCACCCTGTAACCTAAGGTTTAAAAGGTACCTGCAAAAGGGCCGGGATGCCGGGCAGCACGATAACGTTTCGGCATCGGAGCAGTGGAAAGGGCGAGAGCGTGCCATCCTCCATGCGGCACTCTATCAAGTGCACTTCAGAGCCTGCAGCAGAGCAGGTGGCAGATTTGTTGCGCCCAAATGATACGATCCCACAACAGGCCCGAAGGCACAGCCCCACCTACTCCTTACCAGTAGGTGCCTCTGCCATTTTCAGGTGCGCGCTTGTCGTATTGTCGCCAAATTTCTTGCGAATCCGCGACTCCAGCTGAGGGTGCAGCGCCAGCCGCTGGTCCACCGCTTCTGCCAGTGCCGCCATGGTCACATCATCCAGTGTGGGCCCTGCGCACATCACAACCTAACCCAAGCTCTGGTAATTTGGGAAGGGAAGCACACAAGCAGTGATGCGGTAGGGCGTGGTCTGACTTGTAAAGACAAAGGCCAATGTTTTCTTGTGGCAGTGATATACCCACCCAAGCCTCCAGCGGTGATGACGATGTCGTGGGCTGCCGACAGTCTTCGCACCTCCTGGCAAATGGCTAGCACATCGTCCCGCACAACCACCACTTTATTAACCGTCCACCCGATGGCTCGTAGTTCGCGGCAAAGAAAGGGGGTGTTTGCGTCCTCCACTTTTGCTGAGAGGATTTCATCCCCAATGATCAGCAGCGCTGCTGTGCGGTTTGCACTCCCTGCTTCGCTGACCTGCCGCTGCACCTTTGACTGTCGCCCTGCACGCTCTAGCCGCGCATCTGGCAGCATGTGCGCTGGTGCGTAGCTGCCATCTTCTAGCCGCAACGCACTGTTGGGCACAGTGTTGGAGACTGCACAGCTATTGGGATGAATGATTGTCAGATGATGGCAGCACACAGGATGTTCGAGCGAAGATCACAGAAATGCATGAACAATCACCTGCTCCCAGCGAGGTGTAGCCCTGGTCGTACAGGCAGCAGTATGGAACGTGCGCCAGCTGCGCAGCAGAACGGACAGGAAGAGGCTCGGTTTGCATCCATGATCAACAGGATGCTGCAGCTGGCTACACTGTGCGCACGTTGAGGAAGCCCCACACGTCATGATAGCTCCAGTCCAGAATGGGATTGATGCGCATGAAGGGTGGCCAGCCAACACTGCTTGGACAGAAGGTCTCCTGGTCTGCGGCGTTAGGGTCGCCCCTGCACGCAGGTTTGTCTGACTGCCGGCTGAGCCATGGGCAATCTGGCTGAGTTCAGGCAACTTGATCAGGCAGGAGAGGAAACCAATCGCAGGCCTCCCAGCAACCTGCGCGTGCCCAGGATGATGCCCTGGATGTGCGTCTGCTGCAGCAGCTGCTCCAGGCCCTGCTTAAAGTCCCCCGTCAGAATCTCCATGCACAGCCTGCAAAGGCAGAAGGCACAACAGCAAGGCAGCGTGCAGGCCTAGGGATGCCTGGCAGCCCAAATGTGCAGGATACGTGCCAGGACACGGCTGCCCTGGCAGCGTCTGTCCAAGTTGGCAGTGACGCTCACCCATACTGCTTATTGGTCTCATGGGTGAATTCCAGAATCTCAGGAAAGTCGGTGTCGTGGTGGAAAAAGAAGGTCAACACGCCACCCAGAGCTGCATGGCAAGCAGCAAGATGCAGGCGGACAGCAGTCGAGGCCAGGCGCCAACATGTGCTGAGGATGCTCCAAAGTCCCCAAAGTGCCGGAGTGCAGCCAAACACGGAGCGCAGCCAAACATTCCCACAGGCAGGCAGAGCGAGCTCGATTGCTTGCTTACGCAGGTCGTCGCAGAAGCCATTGGGGGTGCCCACGGTGGCTTCATGCAGGCGCTGCCGCTGCGCCACTGTGGCACGAAGGAGATGCAGTAGCACAGTGCTGTCCTTGCCTCCATTGAAGCTGAATGCCACCCCCCGGGTCCTGCAGCCAGGGCAAGCAATGTGGTTGGCAGGCAGCTGGGTGATGGAGCGCTTCCGCCAGTGCCGGCGGCGGCGGCAGTCGGGAGTTTCCAGACTGCTGCCCTCTGCCTTCTGCACATCCATACCCTGCCTCCTTACCCATACAGGTCAAGGGCGCGGGACACCAAGGAAATAGCTTTCAGGAAGCGGGCCTTCAGCCGAGTGTCTTCACACCCCTCGATGGCTGTCAGGACTTCCATGGCACGCTACACTCGCTCATCTCCTGTAGAAGAAGAAGAAGAAGAGAATACGCGGGACGCGTGATTTGTACTTCGGCCGTACTGGGAGGAAACGGGGTGTCAAGCCCCTGGCTCCCGTGTGTAAAACGAGGGGGAACACAGGTGCAGGTCAGCCTGGATCGATCAGTCGCCGCCCCTCGGCCGCCGCTGCCCGCTTCCCCGCCACCCGCGCCGGCGCCGCCGCTGCAGCCGCTGCTGGCGCCGCTGCCGCCACCGCCGCCGCCGCCGTGGCTGCCCCCTGCCCCGCCGCTCCCCCTCCCCGCCCCACCCTCGCAGTCGCGTCCGCTGCCGCCGCGCCCGCGCGGCGCTTCGCCTGCCTGGGCACATCCTGCGGTGCCTGCCGCTTGCCGCGGCGAGCCTGCGGGCGATCTGCCGTGCCACCGTCCTGCCTGCGCCGAGTGCGTCTGTCCGCCGCGTCTGCTGGGCCGTCATCGTGCCGCCGCCTCCGCCGGGTAAGCGTCATCGCTCGTGAAGGTGCGCTCGGGCCAGCCTGCGGGGATCCGTCCTGCGGTGGCTGGGGAGGTGGCGGGGGAGGGTCACCGGCAGGTCGTGCTGGGGCCCCCTCGCATTCTTGCGGGCTGCAAGCAAATTCATGCAATTCTGCACCGAATGCTGCGCCACGTCAACCACCAAGCGCTTGACAGCAGAGCAGCTGAGGCCTATCTGAGCGTGCATGACGGCCATGAAGTTGCCCGTAACGAGGCCCGAGTGCGAGACGCCAATGGCAGCTTGCGTGGCGCCGCGCCAGCGTCCGGGGGCCGCCAGCATGGACTGGAGAGCGTCATGGCTGCTGCGCTTCGTCGCCCACCGCCCGGCCAGGTTAGTATCATATGTGTGGTAGCACTCAAGCATGCAAATGTCATGCTGCTGTCTGTCCGGCGGGCCAGCGCTGGCGGCAAGCAGGCCGAGCACGACAAGCACATCAGGGGTGGTGGGGCGCTGCTGCTCAGGCAACAGCCAGGCCGGCTCGACAAACTGGCATTGGCCCTCGGCGTCTGCCATAGTGTGGAAGCTCACCCCCTTCTGGATGGCCTCATGGAGCAGGTGCACGGTGCCACCATGACGGCTGCACACCAAAGCATGCGTGTTGGGGTGCTGGCATCCGCCCAGCGCATGCGCCTGCGTCTCTTCCACCTGCGCCATGCACAGGTCACACAGCGCGGAGGGGTGGCGGGCGGCGTCAAAGCCATGCAGCTGCTTGCGGAAGGGGCGGGCATTGAAGCGCAGCAGCAACGCAGCACGGCGCTGGGCAAACGTGAATTGGCTGGTCCAAATGGCAGCCGCAGATTCGGGCTGCATCCCAGGCGCATCAGGGCCCTCCTCCCGCTGCTGCAGCAGCAGGGTAAGCATGACGCTGCGCGTGCTGGCCACAATCCTGTTTTGAAGGACCCGGGCGACCTGCTTCTTCACAGACGGCAGGGAGTCGGCCAGCCAGTAGGTGGACACCTCCTCGTCTTCGTTCCGTGGGCGGGCGATGCGTCGCGGCCAGCTGGCCCCCAGGCCCGGGGTGCCCGCCAGCGCATCGGTATAGAATGTAACATTGGCATCGCCCTCAGCCGCCCTGGCCGCCTGCTTGGCGGCCGCGTCAGCCAGCTCATTGCCCAGCACCCCAATGTGGGCGCGCACCTTGTGGAGGGCGAAAGTGGTGCCCTGCATCATGGCCCGGCTGCACAGCTGCGCCACAATGTGGGTGAGGATGCCCTTGTGCTTTTTGGTGCGCACGCGCTCAGGCTCATGCAGGGCCATGTGCGTGAGCCACATGGCAATGCTGGCGTAGCCCCGGCTCCTAAATGTCTGCGGCAATCTTTTGCGGGACAGTACGGCATTGCCGCCTCCAGCACAGGTCCTGCGGCCATCGAGCTCGCCCTGGATTGAGCCGCAGCGTGCTTCATTGCGTCTGTGCAGCGCTGCTCTGAGGATGGGGTGTCGGGCGGCATTGGGGTTGCTGGCGCTGGCTCTGGTGCCCGCGCTGTGTGCTGGTGGGCCGCCGATCCGGGGGCTGGACCCCGCCCTGGGGCCTCGCTACGAGCCCACAGCTGATGGCAAGTTCGCCTGCCTGGACGGCAAGAAGAGTGTGCCCTTTGAGCAGGTGGGCTGGTGTGAAGCTGCCAGGCAGGGATGGATGGAGGGGTGCGGCGGTGTGCAGACCGTGGTGCTTGCCATCGGCGGCCCCAGCACGCTGTCGACTGGCCCAGGGCACTGAGGTGCACGACTGAGCATTCATTCGACTGCAGGTCAATGACAACTATTGCGACTGCTTTGACGGCTCGGATGAGCCAGGTACAGCACTGCGCCAGTGCGGTGGGCACAGTTGACGTGAGCGCCTACGGCTGCTGTTAATGCCGGCGGTTTTGCACACTGCTGCAGGCACGTCAGCTTGCCCCAACGGCCACTTTTTCTGCGCAAACAAGTTCTACCTGCCGCTGCTGCTCAACGCCTCCATGGTGGACGATGGCGTGTGCGGTGCGCACCATCCCTTCTGCACTTCTGCGCCTGCTGTGCAGCTTGTGCTACCGCCTGGGCCCTCGTACCCGCGACTCAACTGGAAAACCTCGTCTTGCTTCATTCCTCTGTTTGATGGATACGTGGATCGCTCTGTCAACCTTCGATACCACGGTGTCCTGCAGACTGCTGCGACGGCTCGGACGAGCCTGCTGGACGCTGCCCCAACAACTGCTACGAGAAGGGCTACAAGTCGCTGATCGCTTTGAAGGACCAGGTGGGACTTGCTGACAGTATTGCCTGCCGCAGATGTGTTGTTTTTTGCCTCCCCTATGTATTTCTTTCAAGCATGCTGTCGATGGCGTTGACCTCTGCCTTGCGTGGCCCCTCGCGTGCTGCAGATGGCAGCAGCTGACAAGGGCGTGCAGGCACGCAACAAGTATGTTGAGGAGGCAGGGGCCAGCAAGCAGAAGTGGGCGGATCGCAAGGCGCAGGTTGATGCGGAGGTGGAGAAGCACCGCAAGGAGAAGGAGGCTGCCGACGGTGCGCAGGGTGGCAGCAGATCACAGCAATCGCGGGCAGTTGCGGCCTTGGGGAATCTACACAACCATTGCTTCTGTGTGGTTGCTGCGGTCACTGTTGCTCCAGGGTCAAGGAAACACAAGTATGCATCAACATTGCATTGCCTGCTGATCTTGCTATCCCTGTGCCATCTGCCTCCATCGCCTGCCTGGCCCTTCAGCCGACAAGAGCAAGCTGGAAGAGGAGCAGCGCAAGCTGCAGGACCGCAAGCGGGAGCTTGAGGAGGAGAAGAAGAAGCGCCAGCCGCCTGAGGAGCCCGCCAAGTCGGAGGGCGAACAGCAGCAGGAGACAGCGGCTTTTGAGGACGAGCAGCAGGTGGGCGGCGCCGAGGGCGTGGGCGAGGAGCAGGCTGAGCCTGGCGTGGAGGAAGCTGCCGAGGATGAGGCAGTAGAAAAGTCTGAAGAAGAACTTGCCAAGGAGCGAATGGCACAGTGGATCCCTGGTGCCAAGGATGGCGATGGCGGGGCAGTGGAGGAGGAGGCGGGGCCCGAGGAGGATGCAGATCCGGTGCTGCCATCCTATGATGGCGAGGACCTGCATGCAGCTGATGCCGCTGCACTGGAGGAGGAGGATGCGGAACCCCAGCAATTTTTTCCTGACGAGGGTGCAGCTGATGTTGATGTTGGCGCCAGCGGCGCTGATGGTGATGGCGGCGATGCAGGGGAGCCGGGCGCCGAGGAGGGTGCGGCGGGTGCTGGCGCGAGTGCGGCGGGTGCTGGCGCGAGTGCGGCGGGCGGCAATGCGGGGCAGCGTCCCACTTCTGCCTTTGGCAAGGCCAGGCTACTCCTGAAGAAAGTGTTTAAGGCGCTCGCCAAGCCGGGCAACGAGACTGTCGCTGATGACACTGAGCTGACCGGCGCCATTGCCGCCATCGGTGGGTCCGCCCTGCTATGCTCCTCTCCGCGCTGCTGAGCTGTCCTGGCTTTGTACAGTGAAGCTGCTGATGCCGCGCTCCGCATTGTCTGTCTGTCGCATCAAGGCCTGGCGCCTGCCACCTTGCCCCCAGATCCCACGTTCCTGCCTGCCCTCTCTGCAGACGCTGAGATCAGCGCCTTGAAAACACGCCTGGACCCTGCCCGCACCAAAGCCAACGAGGCGCGCCAGAAGCTCAATGACCTGGAGCAGGAGCAGCGCAAGCTGCAGGCGAAGCTGGATGGCAGCTATGGCGAGGGTGACGCGTTTGTAGCTCTGGTGGACCGTTGCTTTGATGCCAAGGTGCGCTGTGTGTGAATTGCGACGGCGTGTGGATTGCAGAGCAGCTTAGTAATTTGCGCTGCGCCCAGTGGCCCTTTGATTGTGCCTTTCTTGTCGTGCGAAATGCGAGCAATCTACTCTCCTCGCCTGGCACTGGGCGCGCACTGCTCGTCATTGGTGCTGTTTCACAGTCGCATTTACTGGTGTTTGATTTGTACCGTATCCTGTGATGCAGGTGGACAAGTACACGTATGAGGTGTGCCCCTTCGACAAGGCCTCCCAGAAGGAGGGCGGCAGCGCCACCTCACTGGGAAGCTGGTCGGGCTTTGAGGCTGGCGAGACCAAGCTGGCATTCAAGAACGGGGCGACCTGCTGGCAGGGCCCCAGCCGCAGCATGACGGTGCGTTGGGTTGCATGGGCTGCGTCACACACTGGTTGTTTTGTTGGTCCTGGCGGTCGCGTTTGTTGAACCTCGCGCTTCACCCTTGTCTGCCTGATTGCTAGTGCTGCTCTGCTCTTCTCATCGTGCTGCGCTGCAGGTCTCGCTGCACTGCGGGCAGACAGAGCGGCTGGCCAAGGTGGAGGAGCCCAGCCGCTGCGAGTACAGCGCAGAGCTGCAGACCCCTGCGGCCTGCACACCCGCGGCAGCCGAGGCGCTGAGGCGCGAGGTCGAGGCGCGGCAGCGGTTCCTGGAGGGTGGCGATGAGGTGGAGGGCGATCCTCAGGCCAACCGGGACGAGCTGTGAACGGTGGCATTGTGATGAATTCGTTGTCTATCAGTTTGTATGCATTGATGTTCGCCTGTGCGTAATCAGCTTCTATGCGGTGCTGAGTTATTTTCTTTGTCTCAAGACAGCGCAAACATTCAGGGAAGAGCTGGGAAAGGTGACTGGTGGGTCAGGCTTGCACCTTCTTCTTCGCCTGTGGCTTCGTGTGCGTTCCAGGCGCTGCTCCAGGTGCTGATGCCTTGGCCGCTTTCCGCGGTGCTGCCGACTTGGCGGCCTGCTGATGATTCTGCACCTGCGTCTGCGTCGCTTTCACCTTCGGCTGCTTTGGCTGCTCCTTTTTCGCAGGTGCCTGCTGCTTCTTGCCCTGCTGCTGCTGCTGCTGCTGCTGTCCTTTGCTTTGCTGCTTGCTTTTCCACAGCCCCTGCTTCTTCATCTCCTGCCGCTGCCGCTTGCCAGGCCGCTTGTTCTTTCCCTCTCCCACTTTGGGTTTGCTGCCAGCCTCTCCAATGGCAGCATCCCCAGCAGCGGCCCCAGTTGCAGATGCCGCAGCCTGCTGCTTCTGCTTCTGCTCCCGACGCGCCTGCCGTGCCTGCTTCTTGGCAGCAGCTGCTGCTGCAGCAGCCACCTGCTTTTGCTTGGCGGCTTCCAACACTGCGTTCAGGCGCTGCAGACGCTCCTGGTGTGTCTCCGCCTCGTCGTCGCTGCCGCTGTCGTAGTCCTCAGCAAAACAAAAGGCCCGCCACCGCCGTGCCACCTCTTCCTCCTCATCGCTGCTGCTGCTGCCACTGCCCCCACCACTGTGGCGCTGCTGACGCCACTGCTGCTCCGCCTGCGCGAGCTTCTTGGCATGCTTCTTGGAGCCAGCGTGCTGCTGGAAGGCGAGGGCATTAAGGATGAGCGTGCCGCCGCAAACACGGCACTTGACCGCCCGCCCCTTGACCCACTCCTCCTTGGGTGCTTCCATCCAGTTGCTGTGGGCATAGGGCAACAGCACGATGCAGTGGTGAACACGTTGCACTAGTCATTCAGACGCTCTCTGCTGGCGCTGGCCACCACCTTCTGTGGCAGGCAGCGGCCCTTCCATACTCTTCCTACTGCCATCATGCCAGTCTTCTGCCTTGTGCTAAACATGCCCCCACCTCGCCGAACACTGCCTGAGAGCCTCACCGGAGCAGCGCGTCCAGCTGCATCGCCCGCTCCTCGTCCTCCTCCGATCCGCCGCTGAAATCGTCCTCAGACAGGTCCTCCAGACGGCGTGCCATCACTGGCGGCGGGCTGCCGTCGCCGTCCTCTGAGCCAGCGCCGGCAGCGGCAGCATCCTTCGCTTCCTCGTCATTGCTCTCCTCCTCTACGAAGGGCAGGGCCGCATGCTGTGCGATTGGTCAAAGGAGGCAATGGACAGCGGGGGAGCACGACACAGGGCTCGGCTGCCGCATGCCGCCCGTCGTCAGTGGCGCCTACCTCGTTCAGGCTGCCCGCTGCCGCTGTCCTCTGCCTCCGAGTCGCTGCTCGAGTGGTCTGCAGGCAGGCAGGGGGGCGCTGGGGCCAGCGTCTACATGCGCTGCATGGCACAGCTTGCATATGGTGGGTGACGTTTTGCTCCTCGTTCGCCCTGTGAGTACCACTGGTCTTACCTGCAACATCCTCGGTTCCAGAGGCGCTGCTATCGTCGGAACTGCTGTCATCTGAGCCCCCGCCATCGGCCCCGTGAGTGTAGATCCAATCCCGCCCACGCTTGTACATGTTGAGAAAGAAGAGGAGAAATCGAACCGGCCGCCTTCTTCAGCGGGACACCTGTACTGAGCCCAAGGCTCCCAGCGGCTGTCATCCAAGCCTAAGTGCATTGGGGCAGCTCGCAGCCCGCGACCGGCTCCTCCTTGGCCCTCCTCCTCGTCCTCCTCTGGCGGACCGGCCGACCTGGCCCCACACCCCACCAGCCTTTCTGCAGCCCTTGGTGAACCGCCGGACCGCAGGTGGGAGCCAGCCTGGGGGTGGGAGGCAGGCGATCGCACGTCTGTGCTGCTTTCACGTGGTGGGTTTCCGCACGCCCTGATCGCTGACTCCCCGCCCCCCCACAGGGACGTGCGCCCATGGCTGCCTCAGTGCCGCTCCAGGCAGCCGCGCAGCAGATGCCGCAGCAGTCGCAGGACACGCCCGCCCAGGCGGTGAGTCGGCGGCGGCACGCCTGATGCGACCTGCTCCTCCACCTGCACGCCACGAGTGGGCAGCACGCCGGCTGCTCTTCTCTGTCACTGCTTGCCATCTGCAGCAACAATTGCAGCCCATCCGCCTTGCTACAGACCTGTATGTCCCCTTCCCTTACCGCGCGCACCCTCTCCCGCAACTCCCCCTTCGAAACTCCCACCAAACTAGCCCAGCCCTTGCCGGCGTGCAGGTGGGCAACCAGTTTGTGTCCCAGTACTACACCGTGCAGCACGCCTCGCCCAAGCACCTGCACCGCTTCTACTCCGATGCCAGTACCCTCACCTTTGGCGACGTGCGCCCCGACGGCTTCTTCTCCAAGAACGCCATCGGGCAGAAGGTGGGGCCCCTTGGCTGCGCTGCTGCGCCTTGCCCTGTACGGTCGATCCGATGTGCTGCATCAGCGGTTACATGAGCGCCCAACATCCTGGCCTGGTTTTTTCTTCTTCCCTGCGCTGCCAATGCTGCCGCCCTAAATCCCAGACCGACCCTCTGTTTGTTGTGAGCCTTGCCCCCTGACTTCCGCTGCTGCCTGGTCCACCCTGCCCACCCCTCTGGCAGACCATCCACGACCTGGTGATGGAGCTGGGGTATGAGGACACCTCGACTGAGATTTACACAGTGGATTCGCAGGTAGGCCTGGTGGCAGGGCAGCACGGCATGTGTGGTGGGTGTGGCATGGATGTTGGCCTGCAGTGGGCAGGGCCCAGGACATGGTTGCATGGTGCCATCTTGAGCCGCCCCTGAAAAAGTTATGCCCTGCCCCAGCTGGCATTGCCAGCCTGCCCTGTCGCACTCAAATGGCTGCCGGCCTGGCCAGCACCCTCCACCTCCCACCCTCCCACCCCCGCCTCTCCTGGCCCGCCTGCAGTACTCGCTGGGAGGCGGGGTGGTGGTGCAGGTGACGGGCATCATGCAGCACCCGGCCGGGCCCAAGCGCCCCTTTGTGCAGACCTTCTTCCTGGCGGTGCAGGAGAAGGGTTACTACGTGCTCAACGACATCTTCAGGTGGGCAAGGGGCAACGTTTGGAAATGATTCAAAGTAGGGGGTTGAGTTGGAGGGGACTATGGAGCAGGCACAACACAGCAAGTGTGGAAGGGCGAGCGCGACTGACCCAATCTCCTGCCCCTCGGCTCGCTGGCTTGCCGTAGGTATCTGCCACTGGTGCCACCAGCTGACAACGGGGGAGCACCTGCCGCCACTGCACCGGCAGCAGCATCCCCGGCGGGTGCACCAGCACCGCCGCCTGCTGCCGCTGCTGCTCCTGCGGCGTCGGCGGCGCCCGCAGGGCCCCCGCCCGCTGCTGTCGTCATGCCCCCAGTGCCACCGGCAGCTGCGGCGGCCTCCGCCACCATGCAGCAGCAGCAGCTGGCAATGCAGCAGCTGGCGATGCAGCAGGCAGGCATGCAGGCGTCGATGCAGGCGGGCGAGCAGCCCAACGGCGTCGCTGGCGCCCGTGGGCAGCCGCCGCTGCCGGTAGCTGTGCAGTACACAGGGTATGCGGCGGTGCCGGTGCCGGGTGCAGCACCCATTCCGCCACCTCCCCAGCAGCACCCAGCAGGCATGCCGGTGGCTGTTGTGCCGCTGCCAATGATGCCAGGCATGGTCCCGCCGCCAGTAGCAGTGCCGCCACCGGCTGGCCCCCCGCCGCGAGGCCCGCCACCTCCAGCAGCTGCAGGCGGAGCAGCGCCGCCGCCGCGCCAGCCGCAGCCGCCGAAGCCAGCAGCAGAGGCAGCACGGTCAGGGGAGCCGCTGTCGTATGCCGAGCGGCTGAGGCAGGGCGGCAAGACGTCTACGCCGGGCAGCCCAGCCAAGCAGCAGCCACAGGTAGCTGTGCCGTTGCCGTCAGCAGCGCCGCCGCCCGCAGCCGAGCAGCCGCCCACCCCTGCAGGTGCAGCCCCGCCGCCGGCTGGCGAGGAGAGCGTGCCTGGCCGGCAGCAGGCTCCCCAGCAGCAGCAGCAGCAGCAGCAGCAGTCACAGTACCAGCAGGCGGCAGATGCCATTCCGTATGAGGAGCAGCCCATTGCCAGCATCTTTGTGCGCGGCATCCCCGCGTCTGTGACCATGGGGCAGCTCATGCAGAAGCTGGAGCAGGTGGGGCAGATGGTTGCGTTGCGCCCGCCCACACCAGCTGAGCCACCGTTTTCCGCTATTGTTGTGACGCTCTGCACCCCAAGGCCAAATCCCCCCCCCCCCCCCAAA